TGCAATCCTTTTCTGTATGCTGTAAATATATTTTTCAAATCAAAGTCTATCTCAGGAAATAGCAGCTGCCATTTATTACACATATTTGGGTGTATATCATTGGAAATAAGTTTATCATAAAAAGTCAAGCAGCCTTTAGATGCTTTTACTAGATATATCTGGCATTGGTTAATATTTAAATCCCTGACTGGTATTAAATGACAGTGGTTAAGAGTATCTTTCCAAGAGTCGGGTAATACATGTAGTAAATATTTATAATCTAAAAAAGTGTCATTGATACCATATATTTCTTTTAAAGATTCTATTGTCAATAATCCAGTTTCATCACAAATATCCCTAATATTTATCATCCCTTTATCTGCCCAGTTTTTTATGAAGTTTAATGAATTTTTAAAATTATGATTAAACCATAATGGCTGGGATAGAATTTCATTAATGTTATTTGGATCAATACAATGTTTTTTGTGGAATAGTTGCCATGCGTTTAGCACATCACGCCAAAACGGATTTTCAATCTTAAAGTAAGTTTCAGAATTTGCTCCAAAATTAAATATGTCTTTAAAAGGTATATTGCATGGATTATCCTTATCACCTCTTTTGAAATACTGTCTTAAAGTAGATAATTTCAAAGCGTCTATAAATGTTTTTGAATCAATCATTCTCAAACCTCCTTCTTCATAGTTGTTTTTAATTACATTCCTTTTTATTTTATCATTCTTGTCATTCCAAATAAATTTAAAAAACATTTTGTCAAGGGACGTGATAAATTCTGCTGGTGGGTTGGGCAAGGAACTAAAAATATGGACCAATTTGGAGATTGTTAGAGTTTTTATTACTGTTATTTTACCAATAAGTGTTAAATTTCTTTTTCTCCAAGATGCTAAGAGTCTATTAATTCCCTCCAGTCTCTTTCTTGTGTTGATTACCCATAAGTCTTTAAGATCTGGTGTAAATGTAATACCTATTACATCAAATTCACCAATTACCCATTCAATTTTCAGATCATTGCATATTTTATCCATAGATTTAGCTTTGGATCAAATCCAGATTGCTTTTGATTTGTCTAAATTAATTTTCAAGCCTGACATTTTGTAAAACCCATTGTTTCAATAGCAGAGTACAAACTGTCTTCAGTTCCATCAAGAAATAGTCCAGTATCATCGGCATATTGATCCAGTTTATATTCATTATCATTGATGACAATACCTTTGATGTCTTCATTATTTCTTATCATGCAACCAAGAATCTCAGCCACAAAAAGTAAAAGATATGGGGATAGTGGGTGCAATACTTTGTAAACAGCCATGACTACCAGTAGATAGAAATATGCAGTACTATCGGCATAAATCGGCATAACTAACAGTCGACACAAATACGCAATACATCAGCTAAATCGACATGACTAATAACAGTCCATAAAAATATGCAGTACTTGCTAATCGACACGACTAGCAGTCGATGAAAATATGCAATACTTACTAAACCAGCATGACTAACAGTCGATAAATATATGCAATACTTGCTAAATCGGCATGACTACCAGTCGATAAATATATGCAATACTTGCTAAATCGGCATGACTAACAGTCAATAGAAATACTGTAAATCACGAATTTTTTGCGAGCATGATATTTTTGCGAAAATTGCGAATGACTTGAGCTCGCAAAAATATCATGACGCAATTTGCTGGTCAAATGCTATAAACAATCAACAAATAACGTGTCTTATTTTCTCTTTATTATTTACTAGTTCACATATGCAATACTTGCTAAATCGGCTTAACTAGCAGTCGCATCATACAAATATAATGCAGTACTTGCTAAATCGCCATGACTAGCAGTCGATAAATATATGCAATATTTGCTAAATCAACATGACCAGCTGTCGATACAAACATGCAGTACTTGCTAAATCGCCATGACTTACAATCGATAAAACTTTGCAATAGTTGAACAAACGAAGCTACCGCAGCTAAACGTCACTATTCTTACGCCAGTAGCAGTACAATAGGTAGGAGAATCTTCCTGACCGGTCTCATAAGATTTTACTCCAGGTCGGATGTCTGATGCTAAAATTGTAACGTTTATGTGACATGGGTGCATAATCAATATTCGACATAATTGTTTAAAGCTCATACAAGACAGGAAAGCTTTACCGAGGTCACAACATTTAGCAATCCAAGGTACTATATCAAATATGGGTTACACAGTCTTAATGTTGTGGTGATACGAGGTTCGGTCAAAAAGTAGTCGGCCTAACAATATTCTCGTTGTCCAATGTTTGTTACGGACCACATATATAACCATAGGGCCATTTGCTTTATGATGCCCTTAATTCCTAACCGCCAGATATATGTTACTTGCAGGATGCTGGGGTGCGCATCCCCCTTTTGTCCTGAAAGTTTATTAAATGACAATAGAAACTCTCGTGAAAACGGGTGAAATGAACTCTGCAAACTCTCGAAACCGGTTTAATGGCATGGCGGCCGTTGCCATGGTCTATCGGCGATGAAAACACAGGATTTGTGTGCAGGCTATCAACTGTCATTGATGAACGAATTAGTTTGGCGAAGACCATTGATCGTAACTGGGAACTGTTTGACGGAGTGTAGCTCATAGTGCATGTTTAACCTTAGTTCATATGAATAAACTCGCATTCCAGCCGGCTAGACGTCGAGCACACCTTGGTATAGTGCAAAGTCGTCTAGTTATATGCTGGACTAGTTTAACCTTGTCTTTACCGATGTGACACACCGGTGTGAAAGGACTCGATCCCAGCCAAGGATGCTAGCGTAACGAGGCAACGCCTGCGCAGCATACCCGAGAAACCAGGCTGGGAAACTCCCGTCACTCCGGACACGCTCGCAAGAGTGGTCTCCCTTTGTTTATTTATGAGACCGACCACACACACAACCCATCTTCTCACATTCGCGAGAGATAAAGTCTGATTGCAATGCTGGTACGTGAATTCATCGAAACTCCACAGAGAGCTAGAGATACAGTCACTCTGACGTATTAATAGACAATGTCATTCACCTCACGGTCACATTTGTAGTAAGGCTACTGTATCTTAGAGTGACGCTCACAGTCTCTGAATATATAATTTTGAAAGAAAGAAGCCCGCATCAGGCCAATACATTATAAGATTGTAGTTGCTGTTAAACAGAGCGTCGCTCAGAACTACGGGGAAAGTAATTATAAGGCGGGCGGAGAGATAAGGACAAATAAAGGACACAAATGCACGAACGCACGCACGAACGCACATACACTTAGCTGTAAAAGTGCTTAACCACATTTCATCTCATCTCACCTCACTTCATTGGTGTGAGGCTGAATTATTGAACGACTTGGGCAATCTAACCCAGTTACTCACAAAGTATTTTACAAAATATTTAAATCAGTTCATTCGGTTATATAGTATGACCAGAAATTATTGAGAAATTTTGGAATATGTTTAATTGGATTTGTAGTATAAACAGCCTTTACCAGCTATCAAGTGCGTGGTTTCATTCAAGAGAGACAACTCCGTTAATCCTTTTTCATTAGTTTGTGAAGAGTTATCCCTTCGTTTACTTGCTAGCAGACGACATTTTCAGTGATCCTCAGTATGGATGATTTAGAGAAGAGGAAGTTGATTTTAGAGTATTATAACAAGGACATCAGATCAGCTAAAGTGATTTCAAGTAGAACAGGCATCCCTTTGTCCACTGTTTATCGTGTTTTGAAAAATATTGCAAATGGATATGGCATTGAGCACCAGGGAGGCGCAGGTAGGCCCAGAAAATTGACTGTCGGTGACAGGTGGCGGCTTGGTATTCTTGTTTCTAAAAACGAACGAACGAGTTTAGAAAACTTAAGGCTGGATATGATTGATAGAGGAACTGTGGCTGTCTGTCAGGAGACAATTAGAACCGAGCTGCATGCAATGGGTTGGCAGAAAAGTCGAGGAATTCCATCACCGATCATGAAACCTGAACAAAAGGAGCGAAGGTTGAACTGGTGCTTACAGCATAGATATTTTAACTGGGACAATGTGATTTTCTCAGATGAAAGTTCTGTGTGGCTGTTTCCTAATACACTGAAATTCTGGACCAAACAAACTGAAAAACCTTTGTATCAGCGCCCAAAGTACAGTCCGAAATTTAACGCGTGGGGTGGCATATCTGTGTTAGGGGCAACGTCCCTCTGTGTATTTGAAGGGAATATGAACAGTGAGCGGTTCACAGATATTTTCGAGGGACATTTACTTCCATCTGATCACGTGTTCTATGGAAATTTTGGGATTTTCCAGCAGGACAACGACCCAAAACATCGTTCAAAGCATTCACATCCCTGGACCCAAAATATGACATTATTAGATTGGCCAAGCTATAGCCCTGACCTAAATCCAATAGAAAATGTTTGGGCACATATGAAGGAAAGTGTCAATAAGAAAAATCTGACAAATATTGCTGAAATGAAAGAAGAGGTGGTCCGATATTGGGACAGCATGGACCACGACTTTCTAACTTCTTTGATCAGTAGTATGCCCCGCCGCATTGAAGCCTGCATTGCTGCCCATGGTGACTTGACAAAATACTAACTGTTCACCTGTCTTTGAATCTGGAGTTATGTTTTGCTAATATTCACATTTAATTCGTGAGTAATGAGTGAACAAAAAAAATTACAATCTTTTAATTCTCAATAATTTCTGGTTGTACTGTATAATGTACGCATAATTAAGGGTTGAAATGAGTGATAAACTTGAAATGGCTGAACCGGCATGAATAGTTACTCTACTGGGCTGATTCAAACATATACTCTCTGTTTTCATATCAACAACATGGACGCGTTTTCGGACGGGGGTAATAACCCGAGAGAAAGAATACGATACAGCTGTTGTTTAAATAACGTCTAAACATTTTACGACCGCACACCCGGTGATGCGAACCCTTCTTGTTCGAGTCACGCCCATGTGTGTTGTTTGTGTGTAGACGAGTTGCGTCCCTTAGGAAAGTCACATGATCAGAAAAGAAACAAAATGTCGTCGGAGAAGTTTGAGTCACTCGAAGATGACTTGACAGCCATAATCGATGATATCAAATTCAAATTGGAAAGAAAACTACCCCATTATGTTGGAGGTAAATTAGAGTGGATATCAGAATATTTTCAGTGGAAATTATGTTGAATCGGTTGATTGGTAAATACTGGAAACACTGTCAATTCTGAAGCCGTATCATCGGCGTATGATATAAAATGCAATCGCTCATGATCAACAGCTGAATGTGTATCAATAGTTCCACCTTCAAGATTTCTCAGAGACTACGCACAAAGAGGGGATACTAAGGCAATTTGAAATTAGTATTTGTTGACAACTAGACCAATTATTGTTCACGTATTCAAGTTACTGTTTGCATAAAATATAGTTGTTGGCACTTCCAGACTGGAACATGAAAAAAATAACTACCTTCTGCCAAGACCCGGTCTTTTCTCGTTGTGATGCTGGTCACTGATCAAACGGTAGTCATTAATACAGTTCAATCAATACTAATATATATGTTCTCGGTTATGATGATCACAATAATCATGGATTCATTGGCCATTAAATAACCAAGATTGAAGAAAAGAAGCTACCAGGCCAGTAGTTCATATGAATAAACTCGGGGGCCTAAACTCGTATTCCATCCAAGGCCTACACCTTGGTATAGTGCAAAGTCGTCTAGTTATATGCTGGACTACACGTCCAGCAACCTGATAATGTCTCGAGAAACGTCATGTTTTGACTAATCAAGATACATTGAAACATGCTCGGGGACATTATCTGACATTATCTTCAAAACACACAAAGGTAGTTTTCAATTGTGTCACTAATTATGGTAACCCTAATAAACATTATAAGGATGTAGGGATGTATTTTGGAAAAAAATACCAACGTTGTCATTTCCAGTTCAAATTGATTCAGGAATTTCTTAACCATCATCTGTTATGATTTTGTTTAAAGAATATTGTCAGAATATATTGATGAACTGGTGAAAATAGTCCAAATACTACTATGTTTTCCTGTCATGTTTGCAATTATTTCAGAAATATATATTATGCATCTGAGACTGTTTGATTAGTGTCCTCACTTTAACTTTCAGAAGAGAAGAAAAGTGCCATCCGCCAACTTGAACGGAAGCTGGAGGAGACACATCTTATTGTAAGTTGTTGCTTGTCAACAAAATACTGATAGAATCACAACAAAAAATAAAAATAATAAATTTCATAACAAGAAATGTCCCCTACATTTCAAGATCATGTCATGTAAGACATGATGAATCCATCAATTGACTTTGCTCTCAAGGTTTTTGGCATGATTATAAAGTGCTGGAGTAGTCATGATAAAATACAATAATGTTGCCCTTATGAACTTTGTTTGGGTGAGCATTGTGAGCCAGGGCCTAGATTTTCGAAGCTCTCTTAGCGCTAAGATAGTCGTAAGTGCCATACATTAACATTAACTTACTTACGACTCTCTTAGCGATAAGAGAGCTTCGAAAATCTAGGCCCTTGGACTATTGGTCCAAAGGCAAATGATAATATGAAATACGTGTCACATTTAGAAGTTATAGTCCTGATGATTATTTAATTTGTTAAGCCAGGTAATGTAAGCTGTGTTTATTTTCAGCTCCAGGAGATGGAAAGTGAGGCAAAGATTGCTCCAGTGAGCTACAGAACACAGATGCTGGGGAAGATCCGGAACTACCGGAGTGATGTGGAAAGCATAACCAGAACACTGGTGAGATCTTCTCCTGGCTTCATTTATTGGTTTGATCTATGTATCTGGTGAAGATTTTGACTAATACCAAGATTATTAAGTTGGTGAGTTATGTGTTTGTTTTTTTGCAGAAAAAAGGCAGCGGAGGAAGCGGCAGAAGCTCGGACAACTTTGGGTTTGACAGAGAGGATGTAAGTAGGATATTCAAAAGTTAAATAGTCAGACTTTGTAGATATTCTCAAACGTCTCTATGTTTGTGGTCACTAACGTCATAGTAAAACTAGCATATATATATAACAAAGAGGGTCAAATGTTTAGTTGGATTCAGAAATTCCATTTTCATTAGACACAAGAATTAAGAATGTGCCAATCAAACACTCTAGGTACATCGTGTTTAACCCAGGGTTCTATGTTGATGCTTTTTATAGAACACTTACTGATGTATTCTCAAGTATGGTAATGCCATTGTCTCCAGCTAAATCAATGATATATTATCATGATTATTCTTACCACACACCACACATATTGTGACCCGAATTTGCCCTGCCTAGATTCCAGTATTTATTTGTCACTGTGGTACAGTGGGTACAATGTGTAGAGCCCATTTCTGGTGTCCCTCACCGTGATACGATGGTATTGCTTGAATATTGCTAAAATCGGCGTAAAAATACTCACTCACTGCAGGGATTTACAGGACGCGAATTCCTGCATCCTATACCCATAAAAATTGACAATGGATGCAACAAAATTTATTGGCGCGTCCACAGGGACGCAGAAAAGGTCCGAATACATTTTGTAAAAATTCCAATCAAGTGACAATAAGTTATCACCGAGTTTGCTACTGGCTGGGTAAGGGTATCATTTGCAATTTAATTACTGTAACAATGTGATGATCATGATACACAATACAATAACAGTATGAATAATAATATTTAAGTGTCTGGGACCCCATTTTGTTGTCCAGGACCCCTGGAAAATTAAGAGTATGAGTCCCAGGAAACTCAAATTCAGGACTCCATGTAAATCCCTGCACACTGTGGTATAGCTGTATGCTGACCATGTTGCCTACAGCATCAAAGTACATGTACATTCACTCACTCATTATTAGTTTCTGTAATTCCATCCATTGCATAGGAATGAATATTTAGCAGCGGCACTGCCATTTTCAACGTCTATGCATTTTAGAGGATCGAAGCTTCCCAGCGAAGTAAGTTATTACAAGGTCACCAGTCATTGCAAAGAACATCGGAGAGTATTGCACGATCACAACAGATATCTGCCGAAACTGATCAGATTGGTGTGGAGATCATAGATGAACTGGGACAACAGAGAGAAACTCTTGTCAGGACACGAGAGAGGGTATGTTCTTGTGTTGTGTCAGATCTGGCTTGTTGTGACGTAGGTTAGGGTATCAGAGGAGAAGGTATGGTCAGGTTATGTTCTGTTACGTCACAGGACAGGGTATGATGCTGTTATGTTCTGTCGTGGGGCAAAAAAACGAAGCGCCTTTGAGCAGGTGATCTGGATACTGGCGCTATATAAATATATATAAATAATAAAAATTAATAAATAAAGGGTATAATCCTGAGAACATAAACTGAGACCCATAAGAAGTTTGTCAACACTCATCTATCCCTAAACTAGTTGTCATGATAATTTGCTTTTGTTGTTGCTCATGCTGTCAACCACTAGTTTGCTTGTCATTCAGTTATGTGAAGACTTTGTGGTAAGCCATTGACTTTGTTGATTACTATATCACTGAAACAATGTTGATGCAGCATTAAATTTTACTCACTCACTCATTTGATTCTTCAGCTAACAGACACGGATGCCAACTTGGGCAAAAGCAGGAAGATCCTGAAGGGAATGGCAAGAAGGTAAGGTCAATAAGGTCTACGCCTGCTTGGAAAGGTTTTGAAATTGGCAGTGGACACTTGAAAAGGCCAAATAATTCAATGTATTTTTGTCATTTTATGGATTTATCTTTAGCTGACTGAGCTTATCACACATTAGACAGGGTGGTGGGGTAGCCTAGTGGTTAAAGCGTTTGCTCATCATGCAAAAGACCCAGGTTTGATTCCCCACATGGGTACAATGTGTGAAGCCCATTTCTGGTGTCCCCTGCCGTGATATTGCTAAAAGCGACGTAAAACTAAAACACTCACTCACACATTAGACACTTTGATGAAATGTATATGTAATATATTTGTTTGACAGCAGATGTACCGTAACCATGTCTGCCAAATTCATGGCCTTTTAACTAATTCAAAGCACTTGTTAGATGTACACCTGGGACTAAGTCAATTGTTGTACCAAAAGTGTGTGGATTGTTGCTCATGATATCAGTCACTGGTTTATCCAAATGTTTACACACTGCTATCATATAGATGGAATATTGCTAAGTGTGGTATTTAACAACAAACAGGTGCTTGTATAAGCTACCCCTATTCGAAAATTCGTTTTTCCGTGATTTTTGTGTCAGTTTTACCCTGAAGTCATATCAGGCATTAATCCAGTGTTTCAATCTCTTCAGATTGATGACCAACAAGATGATTCTTGCAGTGATAATTCTGTTCGAGGTTGCAATACTTGGTGGCCTTGTGTACTGGAAGTTTTTCAGTTGATCCTGGCTGGTGTTGGGACTTGTCTAGCAGTGAGATTGACACTAATACATGATTGAGACAACTGGTTGTCACTCTGCAGCCATCATCAAGATGAGACCAGCAGAGAGTGTTGGAAATTCTGCACAGGAACAAATCAACTCCATATCCCAATTGCGTAGATCGATGCTCATGCTGTTGGTCACTGGATTGTCCCATCCAGACTCGATTATTTACAAACCGCCGCCATATAGCTGGAATATTGCTGAGTGCAGCGTAAAACAACAACCAATCCAAACCAAACAAATCAAGTCAATAAAACAGTTCTGATTCCCATCCTTAGCAAAGAAAAAATACTGAAAATACTCAGATCCTTGGTTAGGATTTCAATCTGTGGCACACTGTCTATCTATGGAAAATCAAACTGTCTATCTCCACTGGATGGACATTATAAAGAACATTGGATTTCTATAAGACCATCAGTATATTTTTGGGTTTCTGTTCTCCAACCTCATGAGGAAAAGCTAATGTGGGCAGTTGAAAACAAAAGAAATTGAAAAATAATTAAAATGTTTTCATTAATTATGTAACTTATTTTATGAAGTTTTGAAAAGCAGTTCATTTTGTAATGATTGTTTTGGGGGATAAAAAGTTCAAATTAATTATTCCATATACGTGTATAATGTGTACCGTCCTCTACACAACTTGTGGAACAAAAGTGTGCACTATCCACCAGAAAATATGGTTGTCTTTAAATTAATTTATGATGATTATCAGGTTGCTTTGATTTGGAAATTGATAGTAAATATAGATGAATAAAGATTAATCTGACCTGTTTTTATAAGGGTGTAAGGGCAAGAGTATTTCTTTTTATCTCATACATTTGGACACCAGTGGAAAATCTGATATCAGAAAACTTTTCATTATCTCAGTTCGGAATGAAAATAGAGGCTGGTGGGAGATAGGAAACATAGAACAATACATGGACTGCCTAAATATTACCATCCAAAGTAGGAAAAGATAGTGATTGACCATAATGATTGTAAATTATGACCAAGGGCTTTCATTAAGAAGGGGGACAACTTATGTATTAAGGAACCATTGTTCATCACCTTTATTTATTTATCAACAATTAACATCACGACTGTATCTGCGACGTAGCATCACTTGACAATGGCATTGTACATTTCCACCATGAATGGACAATCTGCCACAATAGTCCACAAGTAGAGACTTACTGCGGATCTGGGTCTGGATCCACAAAGCGTTCATAACGTTACGACCTATCATATCTCTATACTATATCGTTGGCTTACAAATGACATAGTGGTCTCAACCAAACCACTTTAAACAGCATAAAATCTGAGAAGAGTTATTACTAAGGTCATGTAATGATGTATGTTGGAAGAGTCAGTGAATCACAAGGTAAGTTTAGTAATGGTATTGTTAGATATTCATGGCTTGAGGTAACTCACCGCACAGCTTAGGGTAAGTCTACAGTAATGTAAAAGAATATTGGAGTCGAATTATTCCTTCTTATATTTAACCGTGGCAGATCCTAATGCAAATGAAAAACAAGCATGTTAGTCAACTGACATGCGTTGACAGGATAAGAAAGTCCCAAGCTGCCTAGCAACAAACGGGTATTGTCAAAGCTTGTACAAGGCCCCCAAATAACTGCTGGTTTGGTTGAGAAGTAACAAACTTCCTCTTAAAACTTTCTCACCTTTGTAATATGGCAATAGTTAATATTTTGATGCAGTTAAATCATTTTCTAAATTTACTGAAATTCTCAAGCACAAGAATTATCAGGAGGCATGATTAATTCAGGGCAACTACCGGTAAGTCGAATAAGGCATGAGTGCAGTTTTATTTAAAAGATGTATATATTGTTTTTAGTATGCTCAGGTTTCTGTACACTGATCATGTACGAACTGTATTTATTGTGTTCTGATGTTTAATGCCCTGTGTAGCATGTGTGTAACAGCCATTGTTTTAGACCTGAACAAATCAGGTCATGGAACAGTGACAGAATGTATCATTTGTTGATGCAGTCTTGAGTGAGTCATATCCTAGTGCTGGCTAAAATGTTTGATAATCGGATATATCATTGATAGGAAAGATTACTAATTATTATTGATATGAAAATTGTGACATCAATAATATCATACATTAAATTTTGTTATGGAAAAATGTTTTAATTTTCTCACACAGTATACAAATTTAGGACTTAATGTATGGTCTGCTTTAAAATTATGTTCAGGAAGTTGTTTTGTTCATAATCCATGCAAAAACAGTGATGTGAAATATATTCATTTCTTTCATAGACTATTGCTCAAAGTTACGTCTCTGAAATTTATCAATAATCGATCGCTATTCAGTTAACGATTATCGATCTCTATATCCATAGCCATCCCAAATCGTGTCATTTGACATATACAATCTAGATTTATTTTCTTTTAACCTCTGAATTTTACCACTCATTTTTGAATTCAGTCAACAAGATTCAGGTAGGCCATTCTTATTTTACATCAGTATGTTTTAGTGTTATGAATTAAAAAAAGTTGGCTTATCTGAGAGTCGTGTTACTCAAGGAGTTCTAAAATTTCCTTTGGGACTACCGATTTACCATGACATAGATGTGATGAAAGCAGCTCAGCACATGTTGTTAATTAGTCTTGCATAGGTCAGTGAGAATGTTGATAAAAGCTGCTCATCAAACAACCCAGTTGATCATATGGTTTTAATTGTTGTTGGTTTAACTGGTCATAGAACTGAATTAGAACTGATATGTTTCTGAAATCCTGTCAAGTTTTGATGGATTTGATTCAATCTCAGGTTCTTGATCAAGCATGTCAAAGTTTGATGGAATGACCATTGTTTCAATTGTCATAAATAAATATTTATTTTCTGTAGTTTATGTTTGGACTTTTTCAACCCAAGGGGGTTCATATGAGTTTTTGAAAGGATAAGTATGGATGTCACTCACTTAGGAAGGGCGGTGAGGTGACCTACAGTGCGCTTGGCTCAAAAGCGGACCGATGAATTGCAATCTAACTCGAAAACTAATAAACATAACATACTCAATGAAACGCTGATCATAATCAAAACATCAGACCAACTCTGTGATTTGTTTGCAGAATTTATGTCCTAAACTTAAAAAAGTTGTTTAACAAACTATCATTAAAATATTGACACAGTTCACTATTTGTTATGAGGGAGGAGTACAGAGAAAGGGACAGCCAGGTGTTAGAGAAGCATGTGCACAAGTACCGACAAAGGTATTGATTCATTAACCTGTGCTGTGCCGTCTCCATCCTTTCTCGAATACCTGGCTGTCCCTTTCTCTGCACTCCTCCCTCGTAACAAATAGTGAACTGTGTCAATATTTTAATGATAGTTTGTTAAACAACTTTTTTTATTTTTAGGACATAAATTCTGCAAAAAACTCACAGAGTTGGTCTGACGTTTTGATTATGATCAGTGTTTCATTGAGTATTTTCTGTTTATTAGTTTTCGAGTTAGATTGCAATTCATCGGTCCGCTTTTGAGCCAAACGGACTATAGTGGTTAAAAGCGTTTGTTTGTCACGCTGAGGGCCAGGTTTGATTCCCCACATGGGTACCAAGTGTGGAGCCCATTTCTCGTGTCCCGCTGTGATATTGATTATTGTTAAAACCTGTGTAAAACGTGACTCTCTCAAGGAATGCACATCTGACATTTCAGACATGTATGAATGCTTGTGTTTTCAATCACTCATTGTGGTTTGTGATCCAGAATATTGTTATATGACATGCAAGTAATTGAATCAATCCATTAAGTTATTTATCATTCTTATTAGCATTGCACACAGTATCTTTTGTATATCTGTACATTATCAAATGATTTTGTAAATATTCTTTCAAATAAAATAATGAAATATATGGGATGTTTATTTTCACTCTGAATGGTAAAGGTCCTTCTACAAGTAGGTGATTGAAGATTGACCAACTTCACTAAGGGGAGGCATAACAGAACATATGGAATGAAATATCGACTGCTTTTACATCTGTTGATTGTAACTACCATCAATAGAAAGAGTGGAGTGATAGACACCACAACATCTACAGCTGTATAAGTTGAGTGTTGACCACAACATGGCCAACTGGACAGCTTAACATTTACATCAGTGAATCCCTGGACTTGCCGTCTCTCAGATATGACAATATATGACAATCATAGATAAGCTGAGATCTTAAGTTGACCCTTAAAATCAATATCAAAATGGTATGTTCCATATATGACAATCTCATATAAGCCGAGGTCCTAACTTGACCCCTTACCATATATGACAATCTCTCAGATAAGCCGAGGTCTTAACCACCAGCCTTTGTACATCTTATATGACAATCTCATAGATAAGCTGAGGTCCTAACTTGACCCCTTACCATATATGACAATCTCATAGATAAACCCATGTCTTAAGTTGACCCTTAAAATCAGTATCAAAAGGGTATGTTCATTGCTTCTAACCACCAACAATACAACAAATTATCAAATTACAACAAATTATCTCATAATAAAACGTTCTTAGCATATCTGGACTTACTTTGCAATCTAGTTTTTAAATTTTACTCAAAATGTCATTCAATAATGTCAGTATTAATTGGGCCAAAATCACATGTACCTCCGATACTTATAACTTTGGTCTGTATTATTCACACCAATCACAATCATATTGCATCTATTCACGCCTTGAGTAGTAATATCATCTATGGACGTCATTGTCTATGGATAAAAGTCCATGTCTTGCAGCATATCCCTGCATCACAAGATACAGCAATGATTTGTCCTTCACATAGCATCTGCATCACAATTTGTGATTTCAATCAACAGGAACCAGTGCTTGTCGTAAGAGGCGACTAACGGGATCAGGTGGTCAGGCTCGCTGACTTGGTTGACACGTCATCGGTTCCTTATTACATAGATCGATGCTCATGCTGTTGATCACTGGATTGTCTGGTCCAGACTCAATTATTTACCAGGGATGAGAATGAAGTTTTGAGAAAAACTCTGAAAACTAGCCAAAGCTCCTGATATTTAGGCATTTTAGACCTTTAAAACTGGCTCAGAAATGACAATATCATGAACACAGCAACCATTAAAAACTTTTAAATCTGCTGAAGCACATTCACACAATTGTCAACGGATTTAGACGATTCACAAAAATGACCCTTGGCCTTATGAAATTCCCGGAATTCCGCAGATCCGCGGAAAATTCTCATCCCTGATTTACATACTGCCACCATATAGCTGGAAAATTGCTCAGTGCGGGATAAAACTAAACTCACTCTATCAACAGGATTAATTGAAAACATTTGCATCAACAAGATTAATCAAAACAAACAACAAAACACATTCTTACCTAATCCACAGCCTTTATTGTCTATCTATTTACACGTTCTATGAGGAACAGGAATGAAAGGAAGTTTGCAGGTTCGAGTGTAAATACTGAATTACCTTGAATAAAGTTGCTCCTGGAAGCTTGTTAGCTTGTATGAATTACAACACAATAATGACATTATGTACAAAGTGTATCAAATACCACTTGTATTCTTATGCAAAGCACATCTTAAAGAATCAAAATTCAGGAATGAGACGAGACACTGTTTCTACAAAATATGGGAACATCATGAATTATAAGAATGAATGTATGAACTGCAAAATAATGGAATTCTAGCAAAGGATAAAAAAGATTTACAATTCTGACAATTGTAATTTAATCAAAAATTATTTAAAATACAACTGCTGCTTGTTAACATATTCAGATTTTCTGGACTGACTGACTGACTGAGTTTGGTTTTACGCCGCTTTTAGCAATATTCCAGCAACATCACGGCGGGGACACCAGAAATGGGCTTCACACATTGTGCCCATGTGGGGATTCGAACCCGGGTCTTCGGCGTGACGAGCCAACGCTTTAACCATTAGGCTACCCCACCGCCCCCAGATTTTCTGGAAGGATGATTCATAATGAGAAGGAAATAGTTGTAACATTAGTTAGTGATACCAGATTGTATATGGGTTAGACATATATTTTCACAATATGGCAACACAAAGGAATATAAAGCTTGTAAGAAATTCTATTTACAATTAAAACTTTTTACAACTGGAACACCAACAATATGCACCACCATTGTTCTAGAACAATATGTAAAGGAAGAAACATTGACTTAATAAATTTGTTTCATAATGATCTCATGATCATAAAACAAACCATTGGGAAAACAATCTTATCCTATATCATGAACAAATGTTTAAAGATTTAACTGAATGAGAGAATTGAAGTGGGTTGAATGTGAAAAATACGTTCCAATTAATGTTTATCCTTAAATTATAGAAAAAGTGTTGTTAAGGTACTTTGAGCACGTCCATCTTAAACCCCTGAAGATCAGTGTTATAACTGGCCTTCAGAAACCCATGCAAGTCACCAGAGGTGACTGACAGGATGAGGTGGCCAGGCTCGCTGACTTGTGACATTGTCATATTTTGGGACATTGTCATATCCCATATCACTGACTTGTGACATTGTCATATTTTGTGACATTGTCATATTTTGTGACATTGTCATATCCCATATCACTGACTTGTGACATTGTCATATTTTGTGACATTGTCATATCCCATATCACTGACTTGTGACATTGTCCTATCTTGTGACATTGTCATATCCCATATTACTGACTTGTGACATTGTCATATCCCAATGCTCCTGATTTGGATGGTTGTTGTATAACGCCACACTCAACAATATTCCTGCTCTATGGCTCTAAATAATCGAGTCTGGACCAGACAATCGAGTGATCAACAGCATGAGTATTGATCTATGCAATTAGGATATGATGCGTGTCAACCAAGTCAGCGAGCCTGACCACCCGATCCTGTTAGTCACCTCTTACATCAAGCATGGGTTGCTGAAGACCAATTCTAACCTGAATCTTCACAGGTCCAATGCTCATGATATGAATCACTGGTCCTACAGCTGGGATAAACAAATAACCGTATCCTTGTTTCAAATGCTTCTGCAGTCACTTAATCATACCTATATTATGCAATGTAGACATTTAATAACACGGATAATGACACAATGTCAAACCTGGAAATTGGATAACAGAATCAGAAGATGCTGGTTCTTCTGTGATTGGATCAGATGAAGTAATAAGTATAGTCTGTTTGGCTCAAAAGCGGACCGATGAATTGCAATCTAACTCGAAAACTAATAAACAGAAAATACTCAATGAAACACTGATCATAATCAAAACATCATACCCACTCTGTGAGGTGTTTGCAGAATTTTTGTCCTAAAAATAAAAAAGTTGTTTAACAAACTATCATTAAAATATTGACACAGTTCACTATTTGTTACGAGGGAGGAGTGCAGAGAAAGGGACAGCCAGGTGTTCGAGAACGGATGGAGACGGCACAGCACAGGTTAATGAATAAATAACTTTGTCTGTGAACGTTAAACAACTTTTTATTTTTAGGACAAAAATTCTGCAAAAACCTCACAGAGTTGGTATGATGTTTTGATTATGATCAGCGTTTCATTGAGTATGTTATGTTTATTAGTTTTCGAGTTAGATTGCAATTCATCGGTCCGCTTTTGAGCCAAACGGACTATAAATGATGTTTTACTTTTAGTATTGGAAGTTCTGAGGATCATTGGGTGACATTGGTTCAAAATAATTCAGTTATACACTAATACCATATTTACATTAAAACCACAGTTGAGCTAGGTATTAATTTCAAACAGAAGACCTGTAAGACTAGAGACAATATATTTGAGTTTATTGAGCAGATGAGATCAAGAAAATGGAAAGAAGTGGAATCTACATGATGAAATAAAGGAATATAACTCACTTGCATTTTTGTCTCCTGCATTTGTTGTTGTTATTTGCATCCATGAGAAAATATAATGGCTATGAACATATGGGCCTATATGTTATGAAATCGTTGTGGCCTTGCCATCATTAAAAGGATGTCTTCTTATATTCGTTGTCAAATTTATTTACCATACCATTCAAACAAATACTCACAAGGTGTAAGTAGTTTAAGCGGTGCCATTGCACAATTGGATCTGATCATTCTTTTTAATATAGTAAGACACCGGTATCCCATCTTGCTTTGCAAGATAAATGCTTAATATCTGGTCAAAAATATTTCAAAATTATTCATGTTTGTGACACTTCCAAAAATTGATATGCTATTTACTCATCATATATTCAGCTTTATGATATTTATCACTAAATACTATTTGTATCCATGCAGATGCTTTCTTTCCCTCATCAGTATTCAAACAATCTACAATTTCCATCTTCCTCCTGACTCCTATCTGATTGAGTTGAATCATCAGTACCTCATGGGTTCATATACACATTCTCCATCACCATGTGTCTGCTATACTGGGTTCTAGTGATGCACAGGTCTAGATATATGGAGCTAAGTGATGCCATTTTTAACTTGAAAATCAAATGAAACCTATCTTTCAAAAATAATGCACTTACCCTTGCTTGCCAGTAAATACATAACACAATACCAAATTGCTATGGCAGATGTAGACCAAAATCAAGTCTTTGAAATGAAGATATATTACAGAGAAACAGTTCTTAAATTAACTTTATAAAATATAATTTAATAAAATATATTAAAAGAAGCCAAGAGACTTTTCTTCATTTTTCAGAATGAACCCTCCTGAAACTGCAGTAATCTAACATTGTATGGGCTTTAGTACAAGGCACATGCTCAAAGTGCTACACAATCTAAATATTATTACGCCAGATAACCCAAGCTGGGCTAGAAGGTTAATAGTCACATGACTCATCCCACCAGGTACCCATTTTCTTCTGGGTGGCTTTCTTGGATATATCTGTTACAGGGTCTGTATCACAGACTATGGCAGATGTTACACACTATGTCAAGTGAGAAACTTGATGTAAGCTTAGCTCTCATTGGTCAGGACACTCCCTGGTTCCTCTCTGGCACCAAAGTAAAGAAAATAACTTCTACACTGCACTGCGACCATATGTATGCTATTTTAAAAAATGGACAATACACACCAATGAAGTACTGATGATGACATCCTCACAGAACTTTGACAAGACGTATCTTTTATCCTCTGAGATCTTAGGAAGATACCTCATAAAGTACTAGCGTTTCAAATTCCCACCTGCCCGACCATCCGGAACGGTCTATTTTCATCTCGGACACTGTGGTTGCCTGGGTCAGTGTCGGAGCGTTAGCGCAGGCGCAACAGACCCACGGAACCAGGCTGATGTACTTTCAGTTTACCTAAACTCGGTGCATTGCCTGTAAGTGCTATGTTGTTCATTGCGATGCCTAGAAACAGTAAAGTATTCAGAAACCTGATTGTTTTTTTTCATTGTTGAAAACCGGACAGTCAAGTTTGTATCTGGACTGGTAATTTTTCAAAGTTACCATTCCGGCTGTCTGGCTTGGAATTTTGGGAGTTTTAAACACTGAAAGTACCCAATTTTCTGGTAATCTCATCTCACCAACTGCAGTTTAAAATGGAGGTAAGATAGTGATACCAACATGATGCCACAGTGACGTAGTGTCAGTCCACCAACTGGTTTATACAAAAAGCAGGAAGGCTTGTAGGGACGTGCTGATAATAATCCAATGATGAACAACATAACTATGACTCAGTATACCTTTGATCTGCAGTTTGCAACATAGAAGTAAATCTAGCTTAAAAAGCAATAGCTTCATCTGGATTAAATATGTTTGATTTCATTTTTATTTTTTCACAAGACCAATCTTTTCATGATCATCTGATAGTTTGGGCAAAGTGCTCATATACAGGTGGTCATATTTAAATTAAATTTAATAAATATCTTAAAAGCTCTTGAAATAGAAAAAAAAAAAACAAACTAAAAGATGTTCAAATGAAGCATATTTAAACATGTCAATTAATTTTAATCAAAATATTTAATTAAATATTAATAATATTAATCACTCCTAATGATAAACAACAATCATAATATGACTGCATGTCTTCATTAAACTAAAACAAATTTGAAGTACAGACTTCCTTGAAACATCTAAATGTTTTGTGTCTCGTTTACCTGTCTGCAACTAGTATATGTACAAACATAAAGAAAGACAGAATTCTATACACATGCTCTTTGTCTCACGAGTTACTGCATCACTAGACATAAATACCATAACTGTACACATTGCACAATGTTGAACAATCAAGCCCATTTTATCACAGATTAAAGCACTTATGCAGCAAAATATCCTGTATGCAACTGTTACTCAACTAATATTTGGAACAAATGTAAACAAAAGTAAATACCTAAAGGTAAATTATGTGAACATTTCTTAACAAGTCTAATAAACTATATGCTTCATGCAACAATCACAACTCCACACAATTAGTAATTAGTAATTTTCCAAAATTTGTATTAAAAAATTGGCTTTCGCATTATACTGAGGTGCACAAATGTTGCACTGGTGTTGTATTAAGGAAATGACAAACTGATGTGCAGATTAAGATGGCCTGCTAGCCAGTGGCTAGTAGAACATTTACAGGGCTAGTGGAATGTTGAAAGGTACCTCCTCTGTGACCGAGATTATGGACGTATTGTCTTCACAATCCCAGCTCCTAAACTGTCTTGGTTAGCCTGCAAGGTTTATTTCTCTTTCATTACATATCATATATCACTAGTAAAAAGTATTACAAAGTGCATCCTTAAACGTACGTATTCAGGACAAGCCGAATCTTGGTATCAGATGAAGAAGTCAACATGGCTGCCAGGACAAGCTACTGGACCCAGTCTAAACAGCAATATGGATCAACAAGAAAAGAAGACATGTAAATAAACACACAAAGCACATTTAGCTGTTCAAAGTCAACAGATGTGACAAAATAGTATTAGATACATAATTCTACCTCATTCAAAGGTTTTCTTTTGTTCCAACTTGATACCTCTCTCCATAATGATCTGAGAAACCCTATATGAGATGTCACACCAAGAATCAAGAGCAAACTTCGATCAGACAATACACGTTATTATTAGCCAATCAGATGTCAGGGTTTTTTCCATATTCAGTTGTGTCGGTCGCTTTTTCCAATTAGTACATTTCTTTACCATTTCTTTACAACCCCCTTCCTGAACAAATGAACGCCCCCACAAAAAGAAAATGTTCCCTTGATGTAACACCCATATGAGTGTTAGTGAGTTTGGTTTTACGCCGCTTCTAGCAATATTCCAGCAATATCACGGCAGTGGACACCAGAAATGGGCTTCACACATTGTACCCATGTGGGGAATTGAACCCAGGTCTTCGGTGTGACGAGCGGACGCTTTTACCGCCGCCCCCATATGAGTGTCCATGCCATGACACTCTGAAATAGCCACATAATAATGCAACCATTGGTATTTTCCATTTGGAACTACACTGTCACATTCATTTCAGGAGGGTTTGTCTGATCTTCACAAAGGGACACACTGAGTTAACTATAAAACATCAGATTCTTATGACACCAATACACAAAAATTAGTTACAGTCTGTTCTAGGTTACAATCAGTGACTAACAAATACACTCTTGTATATATGTTAATTTCAAACACAAGAATGAAAATCAGGTTTGGGAAAATGTCTGTGCGATTTGTGTATTTGATGGAAAGAAAAGCTATCCTGTTAATCATCAAAGCATTTTGTCCAAAACATGATACCCAACATATTGGCTTTCCTGGGTCTGTTTCACAAATCAAGTTTTACACGGCTGCCAACTGTCATGACTTAACAAACAGTCATAGCATGACTTCTCTGTGGAGTGAGTGAGTCAAGTTTTACGCCAATCATAGCAATAATCCAAAATATTGCGGCAGAGGACAACAGAAATGGGCATCATACATAACACCCATGTGGAGACTCAAACTCGGGTCTTCGGTGTGATGAGTGAACACTTTAACCACTAGGCTACCCCACAGCCCTGCTTTGTGGAACAGGACCCTGCCTATGAAATCGATGTTGATGATGTAGGGCAGAGAAATGTCCTTGTCTCAGTCATGTTTCAAACTCACAGCTTCGTCAGCTAGACAGATAAGGACAAACAACTTGAACAACTTCTGTATTCAGGTGGGGGCAGTGGGGTAGCCTAATGGTTAAAGCATTCGCTCGTCAACCGGAAGACCCAGGTTCGATTCCCCACATGGTTACAATGTGTGAAGCCCATTGCTAGAATCCCTGCCATGATATTGCTAAAAGTAGCGCAAAACCTTACTCACTATTCAGGTGAAACAATGTTTTGATACAGATTCTTGTATCACTGTCAAGAAGGTATGATACAAGAATCTCTATTGAAACGTCGCATCACCTGAATAAAGAAGTTGTTCATCCATAAAGTTTGTCCTTATTTGACTCTCCAACTTCTAAAAATGCCACTCAAAGAAGTCATCTGCCCAGCCAAGGTTCACAGGCTGCAGTGTCTGAACGTAAACACATGATACACTGTCGAACCATCATCTCTACATAAACATGGTAAAACGTACCAGGAAACTTAAAAAAGAAGAAACCAACCAAAGGTACAAACTGCCAAAACAGATCAGAGAAGTCCCAATTTGGCATCAAATATTCTTGAATATCTATGAACAAAAACAAAGTTTGTCCTATTCCAGTGGATCAGGCTGAATGATGACATCTTTTCATGTTATATAATGGTTACCATATATGATAAACGATATGTGTTTTATGGTACAAGAGTGCTGTTTTACCCATTAAATCTACATATATGAGAGTTTTCTTTTACATATGTACATATAAAACAGAGAGCAAATCCCGTTTTAAAGCAAGATGAGATAACACCATAAGACAATGAGACAAAGCAAGTCTCTAGGTACATGTATAAGATGTTATAGCTATACACTCACATCCCACATCCCACCACCAGCATCAGAAGCAACCTCTGATATTACCTGCTTGACAACAGTCAAGAATCTGTATCAAAACGTCGCATTCATGCAATAAAAGATGTTATCCATAACATGTCATTATCGGTCTTCCCAATTTCCAAAATGCCACTCCAGGAAGTTTCATTACCTAACTTACAGATCAGTTAATCAAGCCATAGGGTGAGTGGTTGAAATAAGATCACAGTATACTTGCAAAAACATGGTGAAAGTACTCCTCCAATAAATGATATAAATATGCTGCTTGTAGTCAATACGGTGAAACTGTGACATTCAAAAGATCATATTTCCTTCATATCATTGTTTACAATTTTCTCCATATTTATCCACGATAAATTTATCAAAATAACAATAATGTTATCATGATATCATTCTCAGTTGGAAGAACATCTCCTTAAAATGTTATTCCACATTTGACAACCTTTGATTCATCTGGTGAATAAATTGTTAGAGTGAGAATGAAAAGGCTTTCCTACCTTACTTAAGCAATGAGCAATATAGACTTTCACCTGATGTTTTCGTTCTGACTAGATATAACACCTAAAATCGCAATACATTGCTTTTTTATTTTTTTTCGTCAAATATTTGAAATAGTTTGCTAGTAAAAAATGTTGAAGTGAATCGCAACTTTTAAGCCAATTTAAGATAACATTAAGTTTTAACTTTCAACAATGACAGTAATTATCTTTCAATTTATTAAAACATATTACTGCAATTTTTAAAATTACTGAATAACTGATACTCATTCATCAGAGATAATACATAATGAACAAAAATATTATAATCATGAAACATTTTATATACCATACACATTTAGAAAACCCATTGTCCTAGACAAAATAACAATCCTTAGATATATTCATGATCCATAAAGTTTTGTTCAGTATATACACGATGGTTTGTCTAACTCAATACTGTAATATAATCGACTCCTTGTTGATCAATGTTCATTGCAGCCAATTGAAAACATAATACTCTGTAAAAGCATGTGATACAGTGAAATGGAAGCCAGGATGTTACTCTAAAATGTTAACAAAAACTATCTGTACAGCTGCAACTGTTGAGTGTCTTCTATTTACATCACTAACAAGTAAGTTGGATGGAGTGAAGTGAGTTGGGTTTCAAACAGTACTGTATATTACGGTAGATAAGCCGAATTTTGAGGACCAAAAATAGCAGTCTGTAGAAGGGGGTCGGCTTATCTATGGGTTACACTGTGTCAAACCTTATTTCAGGGGGTAAGAAAATGACATTGTATCACCTCGTGTGAACAAACAATCAGGAAAAGATGACTTTGTCAGTAAAGAGGTCAAATTTGTAATTAAACATCACTTGACAAGATAACTTACATTTTACATCCAAGACGGTAACTGTCGGTTGTCTTGTGGTTGGAGTTGACCGGAATTAGGACCCCCATTGTGGGGGTTGGCTTATATACGAAACATACCATTTTGACACTGATTTAAAGGGTCAAGTTAAGGGGTCGGTTTATCTATGAGATCGGCTTATTTACAGTAATATACGGTATTTCAGTAATATCATGGAGTGTCACTCAGTCTCATTACAATCAGATCTGCTACCCTGATAAGATACCTGTCTGCATTAAGATGTGGGAACACATTCAAAGAAGGTCAGATCAGATCAGGTGAGTGAGTTTGGTTTTATGCCGGTTTTATCAAGATTCTAGCAATCTCACAGCATGGACTCCAGAAATGGGCTTCACACATTGTACCCTTGTGTGGAATCGAACCCATGTCTTCGGTGCCAGATCAGGTGAAGTTACACACCCAGTCAGTAATGGATATTTCAATTTTCGAGCCAAATATATGTTAACTGAAATATTTGGAAATATTTCTCTACTGTTCATTTAGAATCTTATATTAATCCTAAAAATCATCAAAGAACATAAATGTACCCCTTGGAACTGTTTTTGGAGTAGATATCTTGACACTCACAAAGTACAAGATGCACTAATATCCACATCAATGTACAGGCACTGCGAAACAATTGGACTTGTTCGATTTTATTTGTTTTTGATATAAAGAAATCATAAATGGTTCCTGAATGCCTCATAAATACAGAGAATATGAAAAATCTTGATGGTTACTGACAGATTCACCTGACACATATCTCCTTCGGTCCATGCAGAGAGATATCATGGCAGAGGAAAAGATATAATTCTAATGCAACTGTGCGTCACTTTAATGTGTGGGGCAAGGCCAAAGTTGTACAGGCTGTGGATAGAAACCACTTTTCTGACATCCAATGATAAAGTTCTGATCAAATCAGTCACAATATGTGATCTAAAACACGATCAGCTGAGAGTGGCAACCTAAGGGAGGCAACTCCGCAAAACAACACTCCAGAATATTGAACCACTTGTTCCCTCTGTGGAACTTAGCAATATCTGGCTGGTACATGAATGTTCCCTATACAACTACCAGTACACCTACCAGTAAACCAATACACACCAGGTGTCCGACAATATGGCCTACATCCAAGTGTCATACAGTGATTCATGAACACTTCTGAAACCCATGGCAATAATTCACAAAGGTTATTGTCATTGTATTTATTCATGTCAGGGGCCCATTACCAAGTAAACAATTTACTTATACAATCTCGCCTTAATAATATCACATTATGGTGATGACATTGTAAAATTTGTAAGAATGATTATACTGTACAGATGATGAAAAACTCCAAACTTCTTCTCAAGTTACTCCATCATCATTTCATTAAAGTCTATAAACACAATTATACAATTAGGCCAGGTAACTCTCTCTTCATCTGCACAGAATAAGTTATGCCCTATATGAATTTACCTTACTAAATACGATACAATGTAACCTGTTCAACAATTTAACTAATTTTAAAAGCAATTAAGTGCAATTACAATTAATTTTCTTGTTATCGTTACTATTATGAAAAATGATCTGGGATCATTATTGAGGTCCCTCCTAAATAATTCCTGCATTACAACTTTAAAACTATGAAATATAAGCTTTCAGCTCATGGATGTAGCACCATGCTGTCACAATTGAAATAAAATGGTCGCCGACACCTTCACAGCTTGTCTTTCTTCTTCTCGCACTTGAGACAGACTCGGACTGGGTAGTCCCAGCCCCGTGAGGGAACAGGGAGCTTGGTTGGGGAACAGTTCCCGCACACCCCCTGTCCACACGCCCGACAGTGGTGTTTGGCCACCTTGTAGTTGAACTCAGTGGAACACACATAGCACTGTGTGATATCTTCATCCGGGATCCAGTATGCAGGTCGAGCGGAGTCCTTCAACATGCCTGGCAGGAAAATGACAGAGTGAGTAAGTATGGATTAAAAGTGTTTTGGTTTCATAACAGCATGCTAGGTTAATGCTAGAGGTAAGGCTGAAGGGATGCTGGATTAAGATGGTTTTTGTCTTTGGTGTGTGAGTGGTTGAGTGAGTAGTTGAGTGGTTGAGTGAGTAGTTGAGTGATTGAGTGAGTCGTTGAGTAGTTGAGTGAGTTGTTGAGTGAATGGTTGAGTAGTTGAGTGGTTGAGTGAGTAGTTGAGTGAGTTGTTGAGTGGTTGAGTGAGTTGTTGAGTGAGTAGTTGAGTGAGTAGTTGAGTGAGTTCTTGAGTGAATGGTGAGGTTGAGTTGAGTTGAGTGAGTTGAGTGAGTGGTTGAGTGAGTAGTTGAGTGAGTTGAGTGAGTTGAGTGAGAGTTGAGTTGTTGAGTAGTTGAGTGGGTTCTTGAGTGTTGAGTGAGTAGTTGAGTGAGTTGTTGAGTAGTTGAGTGGTTGAGTGAGTTGTTGAGTAGGTGAGTGGTTGAGTGAGTGGAGTTGAGTTGTTGAGTGAGTTGTTGAGTGAGTTGTTGAGTGATTGAGTGAGTTGTTGAGTCAGTCAGTCAGTCAGTCAGTCAGAGGACAGTGACTCAATGATAATCCTGCTTTGAACAATATTCCAGTTTTAACACAGCATGTCAGCAGCTTGATGTGGAAGGAAAGTGGTCTCAGATGTTAACCACTTTTGTGGAACCCACAAACACTAGTATAGTACTGACAAACCACGAACCACTATCAGGGCTACCAGAGAACCAGACGAAACAGTCATGGTTTCTGGCATACCTACGGGATGCAACTGTCAACATCAATTTGCAAGGCTAAGATGACTGGCCCATCCCCAACTGAGTGATGAGTTAGATTGTAGACCTATTTCAGCCCTGTACCAGGTACATTCTGGAAAGAATGTCCACAAAATGTGCTTCACAAACTGTACCCATGTGAGGATTTATCAGTCTTAATTCTGGACAGTGAATTTCGAGCCTTTGACACCTGGGCCACTTTTGAAACTGAAGTCTCAACAGTATCATGTCAGACTGTTCCATTCTCCATCAAATATGGCCTCACCTATCGGGTAGTCAATGGCAGAGGCTACAGCGCCTAGGGTAGACGTCACAACTTCCCCAACCTTGCGAGCAGTCACAGGCGCCTCCCCTTCTTTGGTTTCCCCTGGAACAGACAGCCAGATTAGAAATACTGATCACTGGATGGTACACAACATAGCAAAATTGTAAAGCACTAGATCACTGATCCCCAACAGGAAAACTGAGAGTGAAGTGGATCATTATTAAGAAATTGTGTTTTAATTCATTGTTAATGATAACTTCTTCATGATATTTTAAGATGTTTCAGGGCAACATTAGGCACCTTTTAAGTTCATCAACAGATCAAAAAGTTTCGTAAACTCATGAAATATCATGTCTTAATGCTGAAAACTGCAGTTATAAGGAACTCAAAGGGACAACTAATTTGAGTTAATTAAAAATAATTTGTTTTAAGCATTTCAATTAAAATACACCTCAACTGGCCAGAACCCAAAAGTGAGTGAGTTTGGTTTTACGCCACGTTTAGCAATATTCCAGCAATATCACAGTAAGGGACACCAGAAATGGGCTTCACACATTGTACCCATGCAGGGACTTGAACCCAGGTCTTCGGCGTGACAAGCAAATGCTTTAACCACTAGGCTACCCCACCGCCCAAAGACCAAAAAGAGGGTTTGCTATATGTGTTATTTCATTATAAGCGGGTTAGTTAAAAACAGTTTACTGTACATATGCAGTAAGTTTTGCATCAGCTCCCTGGCATTTCCGAGATGGGGGATGATGCCAACAGCTCCCACCTGTACCCTTACCTTGGAGACAGTCTTTACAGACACGGACTGGTTCCAGGCCCCAGCCTCGCTCTGGCACTGGCCGCTTGTAGCTGGAGCATGTGTCACAGAATCCCTTGCCACATCCTCGACAGTGATGCTTCTGGTCATTGTGGGTGAACTCTTCCCCACACTTGGCACAAGCCTGGGATGGAATTGGTAAATTGAAGGCAAAGTGAAGGCAATGTGAAGGCAAAGTGAAGGTAAATTGAAGGCAATGTGAAGGCAAAGTTAAGGTAAATTGAAGGCAATGTGAAGGCAAAGTTAAGGTAAATTGAAGGCAATGTGAAGGCAAAGTTAAGGTAAATTGAAGGCAATGTGAAGGCAAAGTTAAGGTAAATTGAAGGCAATGTGAAGGCAAAGTTAAGGTAAATTGAAGGCAATGTGAAGGTAAAGTTAAGGTAAATTGAAGGCAATGTGAAGGCAAAGTGAAGGTAAATTGAAGGCAATGTGAAGGCAAAGTTAAGGTAAATTGAAGGCAATGTGAAGGCAAAGTGAAGGCAATGTGAGAGGCAAAGTTAAAGGTAAATTGAAGGCAATGTGAAGAGGAGTAAAGGGAAAATGTGAAGGCAAAGTGAAGGCAAAGTGAAGGTAAAGTGAAGGCAAATTGAAGGCAATGGCAAAAGTGAAGGTAAATTGAAGGCAATGTGAAGGCAAAGTTAAGGTAAATTGAAGGCAATGTGAAGGCAAAGTGAAGGCAATGTGAAGGCAAAGTTAAGGTAAATTGAAGGCAATGTGAAGGCAAAGTTAAGGTAAATTGAAGGCAATGTGAAGGCAAAGTTAAGGTAAAGTTGAAGGCAATGTGAAGGCAAAGTTAAGGTAAATTGAAGGCAATGTGAAGGCAAAGTTAAGGTAAATTGAAGGCAATGTGAAGGCAAAGTGAAGGTAAATTGAAGGCAATGTGAAGGCAAAGTGAAGGCAATGTGAAGGCAAAGTTAAGGTAAATTGAAGGCAATGTGAAGGCAAAGTTAAGGTAAATTGAAGGCAATGTGAAGGCAAAGTTAAGGTAAATTGAAGGCAATGTGAAGGTAAAGGTAAGGTAAATTGAAGGCAATGTGAAGGCAAAGTTAAGGTAAATTGAAGGCAATGTGAAGGCAAAGTGGATATGGATCAGCCAATCTTTTACAAATTTATGACATTTAAAACAAAATAGCTGCAATTTCAGTTGAAATCATTTTATCATTTTGACAATTACTAATACTCTTTATTATGACAATTAGTTGAAGTATTCATTTCACAGCACATGAAAGAAGATAAAACAGTGGAAGCTGTCTACACCGGCACTTGCCGGGACTGAAGAAATAATCCGGTTTAGACAGCATGCCGGATTGTAGAGATGACACTGTTACCTCCAACTAGAAGTGAACCAGTTTTGTCACGCTGATATACATTGTTGTATCGCAATAAAACATGTCAACTCACTAGTTACGTGTACAAGTCTACCTATGCTGAACAAAGATTAAATTGTGTTAGCCGGCAACCGTGTAGTTTCAACGCAGGATCAATTGGTGACAATACACATCCGGCCGACTCCTCGCCACGCGTTGGATTAGACAGCGCTGATTACTGTATAAACACATATTCGGGTGGCTCATTTCATGCCGAGATCCGGAATTGACAGCTGCCGGATTGTAGAGCTTATAAATGATGATAAATGTACTAGCCATGAACGGCACTGAGGTTTTATGACTGTGTTGACAACTTGCCAGATTGGACAGATGCCGGTTTTGACAGCTTCCACTGTATGCCAACAATGATGTTCACAACACTAATTTCTAGGACTGGCTATCGATAGAGGTGAGGTGAGGTGAAATTGGGTTTAACGTCGTGCTTGAGAATATTTCGCTCATATGACGACGTGCATGAGTGTGTATGTGTATGTGCGGCTGCTTGTACTAGCCCAGACTGAAGCTGGTTTTATAGTGCTAGCCCACTGAGATACCATGCCGCAGTGAAACATGAATACCCCACTCAGACACATTATACTGACTCCGAGCCGACCAGTCCTTGTTGTACCCATTAATGCCGAACGCCAGGCAGGGACCAACAAGTACCATATTTTAACGTCTTTTGGTATGACGCGGTCGGGGATCGAACCCGCGACCTCCCGCTGTCCGGGCGGACGCTCTAGCCACTACACCACGGAAGCGGTGGGTTATCGATAGAGATAATAGAGACCGATAATCGTTAACTGTATAAATATCAGAGAAGTAACTTTGAGCAAAAATGCCTAAACAATCAGTTTGAAATCAACATATTTCATATCACTGGGGACATACCTAGGCATATATTGTAAATTGAAAGGGATTATATAGGAAAATAACTTGACTGATTACCAGGATCTTGGAGTTGGGGACCCAGTATGCAGGGGCTATCTGGTCAGCGGTCCACTCAGCCAGGTACTTCGTGGGTTTGGCACTCACACTACCGATAGTGTCCGCCACATAGTTGAGACTGTCCAGTACTTTCCTTGCTGCATTGTGGGTACCGTCCAGTCCAAGGTTGCTCTACATCACACAGAGAGGAAGAGATGGGAATGACAGCAACAAGGGATGAATCTGTATGCTTTAAAACTCCTGTATGTTGCATCCATATAATTGTTGTTGCCACAAGAAATGTTTCACACATCATTGCTAATAGTGGTGGTCCGATTAATTGTAATAATCGAAGATTGGTTGCACTGCCTACACGACCAAACAATTGATCATGTTTTGTCATAATCGAACACAAACAATTTTGGAACACTTGTTTGCATTAACAATAATTTTCACATGGTTGGTTTTGTCTGTTACATTTCATAAGCATTACAAGCTCGTTTAAAGTCATGATTGAATTTATCTTAAAGACTCCAAGAAATTTATGTTCCTAACATACTGGTCATCCTTTAAAGATGCGAAATTTGCATATGCATTTTGTACAGTTTGCACCAGAAACTTGTTTTCTTGCTTTTTTTGTGCATTAACAAACAAAACCAGGAAAATTTTATAAATGACCAATTATTTTCGATGATTGATCGGTTTGTAATGAACCAATCATCAATTTTGAGATTTCAACCAATTCCCAACACTAATTGCTACATCAAACCAGGCCTTTGGTATGATGGTAGAATGCCTCAACCACTAGCTTACCCATTGCCTAAGGAATAGCGTGTGTAGCATAGTAACTTGTCAAAATTACGAAACCTACTCCGACATCAACAAACACAGACACTTATCGGACATGAGTGAGTGAGTGAGTTAAGATTTACAGTCACATCAGCAATATTTCAGCCTTATCGCGTATCGGTCATGGTACTGACATATCACCACGTCAGCTCAACGGAGGAGGGACAAGCCAAAGGTAACTTATGTAGTTTGCTGGCATCAATTTACCCATCAATACCACAGCACAAGGTTAGTGTGGTTTAACAGGGCTGATTAACTGGCTGCTCTGGGATAAGAACTGACAGAGCATGTCTGCTAAGGGAGGCCACTCTGCACACAATACATTAACCACTGGCCCAGCAATTAAGAAAACATACAACGAACCCTACAGCAACAGAATATGTGTAACCTAATAGGTATTTATCCACAGCTGCTCCAGGACTGCAGCAAAGGTCATTAAAAATTCAAAAATTGGAATTTTAACTACCAAATTCATGCAACTATGATTTCTTCACAAATTGGCTACCAGGACATTTCAGAATCAATCCTTGACCAAATTTACCAGAATTAGTCTGAAGAAACAAGAAGAGTTTGGAGGAAATATCATATCAAAGGAATAAAAGAACTGCCAAGATTTCTTTAGAACCATTTATGAACTCTGTGTGGTTTGACTGGATCACTACGTTAGGTGATGGAATATGACACTCTTCTTTATAAAATACGAAGATAGTAACATCCACATCAGTGGTACTGCTCACCTCTGGCCATATGTGTGCCACCTCAGCTAGGACAATAGCCTCCACGTCCTGGTTCCCGTACCAGTATTGCCGACTCCGGTAAATAATTCCACAGTTAGGGCACTCCAATACATAACTGCAAGTCAAACCAGAAAATAATGCTTTTAAAAAGGAATACATATGTTGAGCATCACAACAAACTACGCATGCACCAAATTGTTTAAATAAATGGCTGAGTAATGTCTATTATTACTTTTTTTTTAAGAATACCTGTCATTACAGCCATTATTGAAAATCGGATTCATACTCTTGTCGTCATTATTGGGAACCAGCATGTCAACTTTCAGCTTGTATTTTTTGTGCCCTCTTCTAGCTACACTTCTATCAGCTATGGCCAAAAAAAGGTTTATCAATAGGTCAATGGCAACATTGAAACTGATTTCAAACCTCTTGAACATATTACGTATTAGTTTCAACTTCACCATGCCATTCATTTCTGATCAGTTATTTACGTCTGACTATGCACAACTGACAAACAGGACAAACCATTTGACTTTGAACTAAAACTTCCTAATTAAGGAGACCGCCTCCGTGGTGTAGTGGTTTGAGCGTCCGCCTGGAAAGCGGAAGGTCGCTGGTTTGATCCCCGACCGCGTCATACCAAAAGGCGTTAAAATATGGTACTTGTTGGTGCCTGCCTGGCGCTCGGCATTAATGGGTACAACAAGGACTGGTCGGCTCGGAGTCAGTATTATGTGCCTGAGTGGGGTATTCATGCTTCACTGCGGCATGGTATTTCAGTGAGCTAGCACTATAAAACCAGCTTAAGTCTGAGCTAGTACAAGCAGCCACACATTCACATACACACGCGCATGCACGTCGTCATATGAGCGAAATATTCTCAAGTACGACGTTAAACCCAATTTCAGCTCAGCTCAGCTCCTAATTAAGGTAACAGTTGTCAAATCCAGTGCATGTTATTTTGGTACCTGTCCCTGCCCACAGATGTTTAACACACTGGTGTAATGACTGTGTATGAAAAAAGGCCCGTCCGACCGCCCGAGATGGGCTAGATTTCTGACGGACGGTCTAGATTTGCAGCTAGCCAGCCCGATGGTCTGGTAAAACTTTTAGATGTTCCATACATATCTTGGTGTCTGGTCTGGTTAAATCCAATTTGGGCTGGTAACATTTTGAAGTTACCAGCCCTGATGTCTGGTTGGGTTTTTGGCTTATTTCATACACTGGTAATGATCAATATAAGTATGAACAAGGTGCTTACCCTGACCATATGTATTTTCCCAAACCAACCCAGGTGTTGTCTCCTGAAGATGAAGTTTTGGGTACAACCACCTTCCTCTGTCCTTTAGCATGCATACATTTCTGTAAACATAGCAAACAGATCACAATGTTTATTTATGAATTGGGTACAAATGCAAGTATTACACGTACAAATAAACTCAAAGCAACTCCATTGTGTATGTCTGAACTGGATAGGGTACAGATGTAACACATGTGCAAGTGCTTAGGTACTATGTTCCTACAGACACCTTCCACTGATTAAGAAAAAAACACTAGTTTCTAACACGATAAATTCTTTTGGGTTGCAAATAATGCACAACAGTCAAGTTTCTATGTTACGCCAGAGGGCCCAGACAGAGTTAGTGAGTAACTGTAGTCATCGATACTCCAGCTGTCCATCCATACTCCATCGATAACTGTCCCATGTGTAACCACTCAATAGTCATTAGTTTGCTTTCCGACAAACATAACCTTTTTTCCCCTTCCTACCAGGACATGGTGACAGGTCCCACATAGTAACCATGGTATCTCAATTTTAGTTGGCTTTAAGACAAGCAAGTGAGTGAGTGAGTTTGATTTTACGCCGCTTTTAGCAATATTCCAGCAATATCATGGCGGGGGACACCAGAAATGGGCTTCACACATTTTACCAACGTGGGGAATCGAACCCGGGCCTTCGGCGTGACGAGCGAACGCTTTACCCACTAGGCTACCCCACCGCCCCTTAAGACAAGCAAGAGATATTGGGAGACTTATACCGTCCCTGCCTACCAGGGCATGATAACAGGTCACACACTTTAGCCACACAATTCACATTAGCTGACTTTCAGACAAGCCTGAGATACTGGGACTTATTCCCTCCCAACCGACAAGGCATGGTGACAGGTCACACAAAGTAACCATGGAATCCACATTTCAGTTGGCTCTGACACAAGCGAGGGATTTGGTGACTTGTACTGGCCCTGCTTACCAGGGTATGATGACAGGTCACACATTGTAACCATAGAATCCTCATAAGATGGCTTCAAGACAAGCATGAGATTCTCGAGACATTTACCATCCCTATCACACATGGCAACCATAGAATGCTCATAAGATGGCTTTAAGGCATTGTCACAAGCATGAGATTCTTGAGACATTTATCATCCCTATCACACATGGCAACAATAGAATCCTCATGAGATGGCTTCAAGACAAGCATGAGATTCTTGAGACATTTACCATCCCTATCACACATGGTAACCATAGAATCCTCATGAGATGGCTTCAAGACAAGCATGAGATACTCGAGACATTTACCATCCCTATCACACATGGCAACCATAGAATCCTCATGACATTGCTTCAAGACAAGCATGAGATTCTCGAGACATTTATCATCCCTATCACACATGGCAACCATACAATCCTCATGAGATGGCTTCAAGACAAGCATGAGATACTCTAGACATTTACCATCCCTATCACACATGGCAACCATAGAATCCTCATAAGATGGCTTCAAGACAAGCATGACTGACTGACTGAGTTTGGTTTTACGCTGCTTGTAGCAATATTCCAGCAACATCACGGCGGGGACACCAGAAATGGGCTTCACACATTCTACCCATGTGGGGATTCGAACCTGGGTCTTCGGCATGGCGACCAAACACTTTAACCACTAGGCTACCCCACCGCCCCTCAAGACAAGCATGAGATTCTTGAGACATTTACCATCCCTATCACACATGGCAACCATGTGAATCCTCATAAGATGTTTTCAAGACCAGCATGAAATTCTCGAGACATTTACCATCCCTATCACACATGGCAACAATAGAATCCTCATAAGATGGCTTCAAGAAAAGCATGAGATTCTCGAGACATTTACCATCTCTATCACACATAGCAACCATAGAATCCTCATAAGATGGCTTCAAGACAAGCATGAGATTCTAGAGACTTAACCTGGACCAGAACCCCCACCTGGAACCTCAGCTAGGCATGGTACCTCCTGCCATACAACCTGCTCACCTTACACAGGTAGATCTTGTTGCCATACTGATGCTGATACTGACAGTGTTTGTTCTCCTCCGTCTGATGCTGGAACTCATCTACATCTGATGCTGGAACTCATCTACATCATGGTTCATGCTCCTGATACAGCTGACTGAGAGACAATATTCCAGCAAACAGGCAGTATAGTCCTAGCTTCAGGCTACATTATCACTACTGACATTCAGATCTTGAAATGTGGGAGCAGTACCGCACATGTCAGCGTGCATGTTTACATATAAATGTGCAACTTGTATGTACACTAAACATTTTATCACTTCACAGTAGTGTTGGGAATTGGTTAAAGTCTCACAATTGATGATTGGTTCATTACAACCGATCAATCATCGAAAAAAATTGGTTAGCAAGATTTATCAAATTCTCCTGGTTATGTTTGTTAACGCACAAAAAATATAGAAAAAACATGTAGTTCTTTTGGGTTATTTTGCAAATTGCACAAAATGCATTTACAAATTTCACATCTTTAAAGGATGACTAGTATGTTAGGAACATAAATTTTCCTGGAATCGTTAAGATAAATTCAGTCATGACTTGGAAACAGCTTGTAGTACTTATGAAATGTAACAGACAAAACCAACCTTGTGAAAAATGTTATTAATGCAAACAAGTGTTCCAAATTGTTTGTGTTCGATTATGAGAAAACATGATCGATTGCTTGGTCGTTCAGTCATTGCAACCAATCTTTGATTATATCAATTAATCGGAACACCACTACTTCACACTACCCTGACATTTCCTGAACATGCAGTAAGGACCCTTGAAATCTATTATGGGGTCTGCTTCTAGATCTGCAAGTCATGGTAAACACTTGACATCAGTGCATCAGCCATGTTTAGCTTGTAGCATGTTGTAAAATATTTGACATAAACTGTACTACTTACCCACAGGCCTTGCACTTTGCAGTGCAGGTAAAATACTGGTCGGGGGAATGTATTGGGCACTGGCTTATCGATGTCGCCACTGAATTTCTCATTAAGACACTGAAGAAAAAATATCACAAAGATGATCATAAAACATCACAATTCCAACACTAACAAAAAACATACCTCATTTGTTGAAAGAATGATTTCTGAACTTACACATGTAAACATATGGTAAAAACTCTTTGAAATTAGATGTTTTTCAAAAGTACTTAAATGTAAGACAGAAAAAATCTATTATGGCCGTCATAAAAAGTATACTACAGTTTGACATGTGGGTAAAATCTGTAACACCAAAGTGCAGAATCAGCAACAGTGAGTGAGTGAGCTGGGTTTTAGCAATATTTCAGCACTATCATGGCGGGGGACACCAGAAATAGGCTTCACACATAGTACCCATGTGGGAAATCGAACCTGGATCTTCGGTGTGACGAGCAAATGATTTAACCGCCCTGGTATCAGAAACAGCTATGAAGCACATGACGACTCTCACCTTAAGACTTTGGAAGACCACAGCAGGCCTCCTAGCTGTCCTCACTGTATTGTTGGCCAGCAGGTCCTTCACTGATTTCTGTAAAGGTTTGAAGTCTGTTGGGGGATTCATAGTCCTTGTGCCCACATAGTGCAGGCTGCTAAAAGCATCTATGGTGCACTCGGACTTCTTGAACTTTCCGCGTATCAAGTCTTCTGGCGTAATACCTGTCATAAAGAGCAATACCAACTGTTACCATGTTGCAATGATTAAATATTGTCATTCCTGGTAATCATAATATGGTAAACTACATTTATAACGAGCAAATCACGGATATGACACTGTCCCAGCCACTTGCTGTATAGTTTATTGGAAATGGTAATAATGAGTGACTGACTGACTGACTAACTGAGTTTGGTTTTACGCTGCTTTTAGCAATATTCCAGCAATATCACGGCGGGGGACACCAGAAATGGGCTTCACACATTGTACCCATGTGGGGAATCGAACCCGGGTTTCCGGCGTGACGAGCGAACGTCTTAACCACTAGGCTACCCCACCGCCCCGGAAATGCTAATAACAAACTTTGGTTATAACAAACTAAAATCAGTGATCCTAATACTAACCATAATTAGCTGTTGTTTACTGTAATCAAAAGTTATAAAAGTTAATGAACAATATTTTCAAAACAAATCAATATATACTTCTCATCAGAAGTTTAGACTCACTAGTGTAAATATAGCCACTTACTTCAGGCAACTGTTCTAAACTAAATTTTGCAAGATTTTCCATACTGTTCAAGAGTACTGTTTACTAGTGGTGGTCCAATTAATTCAAATAATCGAAGATTGGTCGCAGTGACTAAACGACCAAGCAATCGATCATGTTTTCTCATAATCGAACACAAACAATTCTGGAACACTTGTTTTCATAAACAATATTTTTCACAAGGTTGGTTTTGTCGTTTACATTTCATAAGCACTACAAGTTAGTTTCAAGTCATGATTGAATTTACCTTAAAGACTCCAAGAAATTTATGTTCCTGACATACTAGTCATCCTTTAAAGATGTGAAATTTTGCCAAAAACCCCAAAAGAACTACATGTTTTTTCCTTATTTTAAGTGCATTAACAAATTTCATTAATGACGCTAACCAATTTTTTTTGATGATTGATCGGTTGTAATAAACCAATCATCACTTATGAGATTTTAACCGATTCCCAACACTAGTGTTTACACATGAACTGATGTATTGTATGTAAAACAAATTTTGGAACTTTGAAAAGATTATTGTCATGAGTTAAGTAAATGATGAAAATCAGTAAAAATTGGAGAATGCTTAACAAAACTTTACACCACAACGCAGCTGTTAACATACATGATATTTGTACATGATCATGATGATCCTCGTGCAATTCATCTGCATAAGGTTTGCAGTTGGTTAGCCTAAGATAGTGGAGAAATCAATCTTCGATGTAACCATATATATATATATATATATATATATACATATACATAACATATAGTAAGTGTTTTAAGTGAGTCTAAACGTTTCAAGAGAAGTATATTAGCAAGCTGAACAAGCTCAACATTATGAAGTGAACATTCCCCACATGCTTTCATATACAAACTATGTGAACCTTGAAACGATATATTTGGGATTACACTTTCTAAGTAAAGTACAGATTCTCATTCTTTTTTGGGTTGAGTTCCATCTGTGACCATGTTAACTTTGCTTAAATTGCAGTTCTCAGTCAGTTTTGTATTCTAGGCATGCAAGAAAAGCATCAAAATATTTCCCTTCAATCAAACGTAGAAACTAAAACTTGGATCATGCAACATGAAAATGCAAATAATGCATGTTATCATGATCATGGTTATATATAATAATAATAATAATAATAGGCCACTTGTATTGCGCATTACTCCATGCTTGATGCATGCTCGGAGCGCACAGTATATATCTTGCACTGGTGCAACCCAATATTACAAAGTGCAACCTAGTTATTAGTCTTACTTGCACCTGGTGCAAGTTAATTTTTGAGAAATAAATCAACAATAAGTCTAACATTATATGAGCAGTATACAACTGTCAGCTCATTTTTCTTCTAAACTTTGAATAAGTCAATAGCATATTTCTTTCTTTACATATTGCAAAAATAGCAGTGCAACTGGAATTTGGCTGGTGCAACTGGGGTTTTAGGTTACACCTGGTGTGAGTAGGTTAACATCTCTTAAATCGAGCCCTGCTCTCATCAGCATTACGTGAGATAATAAAGATGTCCATCGGCAAGATAACATAATACTGTGACAGAACAGCAGCGTTAGCCGTGGCTTTAACTTGGACATAATGCTCAATATAATGCATGTCTACATGTCAATGTGCAATATTTCATCTGTTTTCCATCAAGAAACCTTTCAAAATTTCCCACTAGACCACAGGACCACTTCACTGGTCCAAAATAACATTACTAGATTTACTTAACTATCAATACAAAATTCACTGGCCACCAGGACCACTGGCCACTTACCATTTAGTGGTCCTGATTAGGGCTGTAACGAATACACTATGTGGCGAATATGATACGTATCTCGAATATTGGGTAACGAATACGAATAATTATTCACGAATACAATATTGTAGTTAAGTGATTGATGCACAATATTGAATGCCCATGGTAACAGTGTTAATTTGTCACAGCAACAACCAGTCATCTCATGACACTCAGCTTTGGTATGTAATAGTTATAGTTGACAGTAACATGTCCGCCCTTGGCAAACTAACATGACTTGACGCTACTACAAGGCTAGTACATAATGCATTCTTGCATATCTCGTTTTGAAAAAGGACAAAAGGGTTCAAGTCAAACACACTCCCTTAAAAGAAAGTAAATATTCATGAATATTCGGTTCTGGTGACCACGAATAACGAATTGAATTCATGAAGGGCTACGGTTCGATTCACCGAATATGCGAGTGAATCATAACAGCCTTAGTCCTGATGAATTTTTACTAGCCAGGTACCACTGGATCACATTGGCACACTTTGCAATTTGGCAATTTTGCACACTGAACCCGTGAAGATCCGAGTTAGAATTGATCTTCTGTAACCCATGCTTATCGTAAGAGGCAACTAATGGGATCCTCTGTCTCTCTCCCTCCCTCTCTCTTTCTCACCTCACACTCACACACACAAAGACATGCATCTGTGTAAAAATGGTAAAGGGTAGACGACAGCAGCTAATGAGAATATCTCACCTTCCTTCCCTCCCCTCAGCTGCAGCACATCAGTGTGTAAGGTCTCGTGGAATATTATCACAGCTGGTCCAATGTTGGAGACAGAGAGGTTGTAACGTTGTGTTGCTGCCCGCAGTTCTGCTGAAAAATGCTTCAAATAAGCCTTGGATGCATCACTAAGGAAGTTCAACATATCCACATGAAGCCTCTCTGCCCGAGTGCGATATATCACAATGTCCGAGATCGCAAGAATCTTCAAGAGCAGTCTGGTCCTCTGGTTCTGGTTGCTGGTCACCCCCAGCAAGCCCTCGGTGTCAATCACAAGCGTGTTGTTGACAGGGTCGTTAGCTGCCCACACCCCACAGTACATGACTCTTGTTCCGGTGAAGTCTGAAACACCTCCTTACCACCAAAAAAGGTGTGGTTGAGAGTATAGGATTTCCCATCTCCTGTGTTACCAAAGATGGAAATAATCTTCACCATTGCATCTTTCTTGCAGCCAAGCTTCTCTATAAAATCTTCTTCAGATGTCACCTGTGAATTAAACATAACAAAAATTGTTGACCAAAGTTACATCATTGATGTTTTTACAACATTTCTTTCACTGTACCACTATCATTAAACACTATAGTATAATATGGAAAGTCCTCAGCTGGTCACTTTATTGAAGCATGTAACAACACATATAACATATAACAACAGGGTCGGTGGGGTAGCTCAGTGGTTAAAGCGTTCGCTCGTCACGCCGAAGACCCGGGTTCGATTCCCCACATGGGTACAATGTGTGAAGCCCATTTCTGGTGTCCCCCGCCGTGATATTGCTGGAATATTGCTAAAAGGGGCGTAAAACCATACTCACTCACTCACTCACTATAACAACACATTTTGTATGATCTGTCATGTGACAACATGCGTGAGTGAGTAAGCATATATTACAACATTTGAAGCAATATTCCTTCAATATTTTGGCTGGGATACACGAGAAATGGGCTCCACGCATTGAACCCATTTGGGGCATAAAACACGAGTCTTCAGCATCACAAGTGAACACTTTAACCTTTAAGTTAGATGACCGACTGAGTTTGGTTTTACGCCGCTTTTAGCAATATTCTAGCAACATCACATTGAAATGGGCTTCACACATTGTACCCATGTGGGGATTCGAACCCGGGTCTTCGGCGTGATGAGCCAATGCTTTAACCACTAGGCTACCCCACCGCCCCTTTAAGTTAGATGATGCTGCAGACACACCAATGAGGTGCAATGCAGATTTTCATAGGGGATCTGGTCGGAAAAGACATTGATTTTAATATTTTATTTTTTAACATGTTTAATATTGATAATCGCGGCTGCATAGCTCTGTGTACAGACAAGTCAATATTTAAATCATTTACAGAGAGCAGCACACAGATACTACTCCTACTCTCATCTGCAGACTTGCAGCAACTAATACCATACAGCCACAATCGCAGAGGAGTAAACTATTTAATCTAGGTGTTAATAAAAACATTATCAGATGGGTTAAAGAATTCAGGGTACATAGAACTCAGTATGTCAGTGTCAATGGCTATCAATCTTCTTTTGCTCTCAACCTCTACTGGAGATCCACATGGCTGTGTTCCTTCATCCGTACTTTTCGCTTTTGCATACCAATGACTGTTACTTGTCAATATATGACTTGTTTACTGTGAAATTTGCAGATGATGCCACTGTTACTGGCCTAATTTCTGATTCTGAACATTATTATCGCTCAAGGCATTGACAAAACCGTGAATGACAGGTTTTTTATCAAACCTTTATTCAAAGTGTGTTGACCTACAATTTTACATGTTGGTATGGGGATCTGTCTCATCTCAACTAAAACAAACTTTTCAAAATTGTTAATACTGCTTTGCAAAATTTCTGGAGTGTCTTTTCTAAAGGTGATTTTGAACCCACACAGTGCTATAGTTACTGTGTTTAATAGGTCTTCGTGAGTGCATGTGCCTTTTCACAAAAGTCTTCCATCAGTGACAAATAACTAACTGTGCTCAGTACTTTAAACATGTTGGAGTGTCCAGTAAGTGAATGAGCGTGGAAATGTTGTTTACTGAAACAACCAAGAGATGTGCAGTTGCATTATAAAAGTTGAAAGTGAACAAAATTATTTTGACAAGATTTCATGCATAAAGGTAATGAACATGATGACAAACAGTGAGGCCCTCTTGTCTAAAATAAGGTGAAGCACTGTTAATATTGTTAATGGAACCTTTTAGGCATCTTAATAATAGACAACTTGTCTTTATATATCCCACTGATTTTCTGACCCAATCACTTGTCATTTTGTAACCAAGAAGTTTTGTTTGCCTTAAGTCATTTCCTATCTAGACTCATAAGTAAAAGTCTTTTTTCAAGGACAAGAATGTCCATAAGATGAAATGCTGACCTGACCACTTACAATTTTAGCATGTTTAGTTGAATATACCAAGCATTCGCAAAATAGTAACATTAAGCCTAGGGAAAAAAAATAGGTCAGACTTCCACCTGTATCCCCCCTAAATTTTAACGATGAGGAAAAAGATATATATATAATGTGTTATTCAACACATGATGATTCTATTAGTAATTCAAAATATAGCACGGGCTTTGAAAGCATTAATCTATTTTTAGCCACTGGGTTTTTACCAGTAATTTCTTTTTATAACAACATTGATCTAGCTTATTGTATTGTATTTTGTGAGCATTTTACAAACATTTTAGTAAAAATGCAGGAATTTTGTGTCAAGAAAAAAACTTGACATTTTTTCACTTATTAACAAAACTATTGGCATATATATACAGTCAAATCCCGATGAGTCGAATATCTGGGGACCAAGTAATAAATTCGTCTTATCGATGTATTCGAGACATAGGTATGTCTATGAGGGTAGAAAAAAGATGCTCCAGTCCTAATTCCTCCGCCTAAGCATTTGTTTTTCTAATGATTTCCGTATCACTAATAGGTGCACCTTATCAGTTCCAGTCTGATTAGCACAGACAGTGATTTCCGTAAAATCACTAATCTATCTTTTGAACTCACCCGTCAATGGTGGAAAGGTGTGAGCCGCGCTGGTTTGTTAATTTGATCAGTTTGCCACACCAATCAACTTCTCATTGACTGACTTCGGCTTATGTATACAAGATTGCTGTTGTTTGAATCTCATGGGACCAAATTTCCTTCTCGAGTCATCGTGTGTATTTATGAGACGAATTCGTGTAACCGGTATTCAAATGATGACAACTATAACAGGGAATGGTCGGGACCGACAGGTACTTCGAGTTATGCATAATATTCGAGACACCGGCATTCGACTCATCGGGATTTGACTGTAATTGTATGGGTGAATGAGCTGAATACACATGTACTCAAAGGATGAGAAAACTTGTAAGAATCACATGATGAAACTATGTTATTATTAATAGCGCTGAAAGGGTCGTCGGCACGGGTACTACAGATGTGTACCCCAGGTAAGTTTCTGTATACAGAAATGTACCCTGGCCATAATCAGAATACAGAAATGTACCCAAGGACGATTCCATTCTGCATTGTGGAGTTTTCTTGATCGGAACTGTCATACTGTTGTATTAGATGTATTTGATTGCATTTTATAAGAGCATACACAGTATAACAAATATTTCACGGTGCACAACGTACACCACTCGCAATCAGCTGAACAGGAATAACTACATACGGTTTCGGTATTGGGTCGTGGAATATGGTCTCGTCCGTCGTTTAGGGTACCGGGTACGTTTCTGTAGTTTGACTTTGTTTAGGGTACATGTCTGTATACAGAAACGTACCTGGGGTACATATCTGTAGTACCTGTGCCGACAACAACCCTTTCAGCATTAATAGCAATAATGTATCAAACAAGCACCTGTAGTTCTTCCTGGTCATTTGCTAATTCAAAACTTTGACACTCCGTGTATCTCCCATCATCCAGAAGAAAAGCATCCATTTCCCTTGCCATTAGGTTCACTTCATTTGTGTCTTGGCAGATATCGGGAATACTTCCACCTGAACTTGGGTGGCTGTGATCAGAATGAAAACTAGCGAAGGACATATTTTCTTCCAAGCTAATTTCTTGAGGACATGAAACATATGTCAAAGAATCGTCATTATCTGACACAGGTGACAGTGGTTTCACTGTGTCTTGTAACGCACGTAGCTGTCTACGTTGATACTCATTCACTGATATCTTCTTATGGGTCTTTCTTCTGCCTTGGGCATGCGATTTGTCAAAACAATCGAGACAAAGCCTGTGTTTACAGTCTTCGCACCAGACGTCAGCGTAGTTCCTGTTGACACATGCCGTCCCTGAAGCTGTACCCTGACAGAGCTGATCCTGAGAAGGGCGTTCAAGACGTCGCCTGTTGTGAAATTCGAACTTTATTCCCGAATGTACGCTCTTTTCACACTTATCGCACTGTGCAGTTTTGCACTCTGAACATGTAAACACTGCCTCAGCGTTTACAACAACACAGCTTAATTTTTCCTCACAAAGGCGAATGGAGGATTTCGTTCTGTTGCTTCGCTTGGCCGTGGGACGCATTGTTCAAATAATGGAAATTGGTACAAGCGTCACCTGCTTTGATAAAGATCATTGTCATAAACTTCGGTCATAATAAACTATGACCAAGGGAATCTCCCATTTCGACCATTTCCGTATGGTTGACTGTGAAACAAGTAGCACAAATCTTTAACGAAAACGGAACGTATATAGTTCGCGGTGGCAGGAGGTACGACACTTTTGACTGGATTAAAAGCACAAAACACCGTTAAAACACATTCCTCCTTTCAGTATAATATCGACTTAGTGCTATATCGGATGTGTACACATCAAGTTAACGAATCTCCTATTTATTTTCTAGGATCTGCTGGGATATCCAAAAGCTTATGGAGTTACATGCATAGACAAGATTACAAGTATTAGAATTATTTTAGGTTTTACCTGTTGTCAACCTGAATAATGTTGAATATTGATACCATCACTAAATGAATTAACGAAACCAACGAAACTGACCAATGATAGTGGATGTCAGAGATTACACCCAAATAAATATAAAAAACCTTTTTTTGAAACATAATGACAATTTAAAATTTTGAAAAGCAAGAATTATCAATGCAATTTAAACAATAAGTCAAACGAAAGCCATTAAGTACATATCACCAATACAACACGCTGTTTACACAAAGAAACAGTTGAATAAACACCGCTTCAAACTGCGAAGGGGTGATTAAATCGCTAATTAAATCGAAATCTTTATAACACATATGCCATGCTACTGATGAAACACGTCCCCGGACAGTGTGGTTAGTTAGGGTTTTTAATTTTCTGAATATACATACGGGTGCTGTACACCTCACATAGCTTTTTATAAAGACTTAAGAAAACATTGTATTGATTCTTTTTTAAATAATCAGTATTTGATTATTTCGCTACGCTTGAAAATATAGTTTTGTCATGTGAATATACTAGTATATGGCTACTGCACACTCTACATCATTCTGATAATTTCTGAATACAACCATGTATTATATATCTGGGATTACAAGTATTTCATTTTTCTGCGTCGGATCATTTCCATAAAATGTATTAAATGTCTAAACTGTATTTTCCCGATATGAAAAGCAAAAACGTTTGCGACCATTCCGCGGCGTTCAGTTGTAAATATGTCCTCAACGGATATAAACCAACCATTAACATATAAGTTCATGATGCTATACTAAATAATGGGAAGCCACCACCTCCTCTCCTCAGCCATCTAGGTTCCGTAATCAAACGTATATGTAACCATGAAGTTAGCACACACACTCATTTAACTTGAAATAGCCTAAGTATTTGTTTCAAAAATACTGAAAGTATTATTTCAGCGTACTCTAAATCCGTTTCAGATGTTTCAGCTTTTCGTTGAGTCTCAAAAGGTTCAACTTGTTATCTCCCTTGGCAGGGAATTCTGGGAAGCTACTTATGCATAGACTCGGCACCATTACTCAGTGGTGGAGCCAACTTTCAACTAAATATGTCGAAAAGAAAGACACGAGCTTTACTCATCGATTCAGATAGCGATGATAGTGATAGTGGAGAAGATGTAGATGAAGTTAGTGTCTTTCCTCATCTTCTTGATTTTAATTCTACAACCTCGTATTGTTCCAAGATATGTGTCGACAAGTCAGATCTGAAAACCAGCAAATGAAAAATTAAGTGCAATATTCGAATCTTTGACTACAGAGGACAGGAAATGACGCGAAATCACCTATGTCGGATAAACAGTTTCCATCTGAGGAAACAAAGAACTTACGCAACTAAAAAAAAAGCTAACCCTTACCCCTGTACTTGAAACACGTCTTCATATCTTTGGACATAGATTATGAAAATATTTTCCACTTCCCACATTCTTGAGTGTTACATGAAACAAATGCCCCCATTTCATTTGTAAAGAAAACTTTTTAAAATTTTGAATTACGACCAACATTATGTTAATGGTTTTTAAGACAGGTAATTTCTATGTTAACAAATTAATTCACTTTGTAATGCCTTGCACAACAAAGAGTTGCACATAGCACAAAATAATTACCTTTCAGATCTGGCCCCAAGTATATTTTGTTTGTGAGCAGTATTAATAGTCATAGAATAAGATGCTTTAAATATGCTATGCAAACAATCATTGCTGTAATCAAAACAGAAATTGTGGATTGGATTGACCATGAGAAACTGAATATATTCATGTTTTTGATATTTCATAAGGAATGAATATCTGTTTTAAATATGTGAAGCATTCAACTCGGTGACAACTTTGATAATACTGGTCTTGAGACTGATCTGGCATTTATTGTATCTGGTTGTATATATATTGAAGACGGATCTCGGGGAGACGTCCTTTTAAAACATATCCAAATTAACATTGACTCAAAGGATATCAGACACCCAAGATGAAAGTTCTGTTGTATATGTTAATAACCTAACTTCTATATTATGTCCAACAATTCATCCATTATTGATACATGTCATTGTAAAAGTTTATGAAGAATCATTTGCAAAGTACAAATCTGAAGAATCATCTGCAAAACCATAAAACACAAACTGATGATATTTTCTGTTTAAAGCATGTTGAAAATTTCTTCCTGTACTTTTTTCTACTTATTCATTGTTGGCAAAAAAGCTACTAATTGTGCATTTTACATGTTAACTTATTTGAACATATATTAAGAAGAAATAATATTCCTTTGTTCCAAGAGTGAGATGTGAAATTAAGACACATTGATAATAATTGTGTTTTGAGCCACTGTTAGCATTTTATTATTATTATGCTAACATTTGTATAGCGCCGATATCCAGCTCAGCTGCTCAAAGGCGCGCTTTGTTTTTCCCTTGATCACTGGATGTCATTAGTTTTAAAGGAAAAGTGTCACAAACTATCTGGCTTCAAGCTGAACCATACATGTGCATAGAATAAATGGAAAAGTTCCTTGTGCTGATCCTACATAAATATCCCTTGGACTATACAACAGAAACTAATGCTCATTTGATTTGTCAGTATAAATATTAATAATATACTGTTTATTGTGCAATGTCTTAGTCAACTTCTCTACTAATAGATTAAATACCTATCTTGTATTGCTGAGAGGCTGATATTCATCCCTAAGTTGATTGTTTCCCGATTCAAGATTGTTAAGTTAGGTATTTAAGAGATGATTTGTACTTTCCTGATAATAGAACCAATCAAGAGAGGCTTTAATCTTTTGTCTTACATTATTGCACAGAATGATATATTGCACAACAATGTTAATCTGAATTTAAGAAAAAAGATTTCAAGAAACTCCACCTTTGCACAAAATATGTTTTATCTCAAGTCTGCACAGGTGCGCTGTTTGGGAAATCCTAGATAAAAAAAATCCCTGGAATGTAGTATGCAGATACTGTAAACGTATTTTTTTCGCTTAGTGCAAATTTCGCGGAATTGACAGTTTAGACTACATCGCGCGGTCAATTATTCACGCAGATCTGTAATTGCCAGAACTGCCAGCTGTCTCTTAGGCCGCCACTAATAGCAATGAAAACAACCAGAGTGGCTTAACCTGTCAGGCGGCGTGTATTGCTTACTCACAGGAAATCCCTACCTGCGTGATGTATACTGTAATACGTTTACTCACAGAAGTATTAAGTACTTAGGAAGTGAGATATCGTGATGCAAATATAAAGAGATGAAAAACACATCAGTCTTATGTTCCGAATTCTGACGATCTGACGATGGCATTGCGAATGTGGTTAAAGAAAGCACCTACCCCCAAGACACCTGGACTTCCAGATCCAAATCATTGCAAAGATGACACTATGCAGGAATAAATATAAATAAAATCTTAATGAAGAAATAAAATACTGCTGTATTATTTCTTTCTGAGTCGTTTCATGGTAATCCATTTTGTATCAAACCATCTGTCACTACGATTGGTCAAAATAAAACAGCGACAGTTAAGTATGATTCTTTATGCTACTATCAGTCGTCATAATAAGATTCCCGTAGATTTCTGTCTTCAAACGTGATGTGTTATGGTAACAACTCAGAGGCGAGCGTGGGTAGAGTGAATGAATGAAAGGTTTATTCACTGTGTATAAATTTTCGCGGTAAAATAAGAATAAGACCTGTGCGATATATAATACGTTTACAGCAGTGTATGAAATAAGTCAAAATTCCAGCCAGACATCAGGGCTGGTAACTTTAAAACCAGCCCTGATGTCTGGCTGGAATTTTGAAACCTGCGCGCGATATATAATACATTTATAGCAGTGTATGAAATAAGCCAAAATTCCAGCCAGACATCAGGGCTGGTAACTTTAAAATGTTACCAGCCCAAAGTGGTTTTAACCAGACCAAGTATGGTGAATTTACTCCGATGTATGAACCATCTAAAACATTTACCAGACCATCAGGCTGGCTTGCTGTAAATTTTGACTGTCGATCAGAAATCTAGACCGTCTCGGGCGGTCGGACTGGCCTTATTTCATACACTGTTTACAGTATGTTGCAGTTGTGCTGAAGTTAGCTCATCATGATCAGGGCAGACCAACCTGATGTGTGTATGGCACAAGGTATGATTGTAGTTCCATTTAACAGTCAGTATTATTTTTAGGGCTTTCGTGCGCTGGCCAAAAGGAAACGTCCCAGTTCCGAGTCCCAGGCAGACCCACCAGCAGCTGCAGCAGTTGAAGATTCCGACTCCGACACAAGCTCTGGAAGTGATGGAGATGTAAGAACAGATATTTGACAAATCTATGCCTCATTATAGTTGGCTGAATGTATGTGATGAAGTGATGGCCTCCAGCGGAACTTCACAACCAATGTGGACAGATGGTAGGCTTTTATGATGTCAGCGGTCTTGGTTCCATAAAGCTGTCTTGGAGCAAAAACATTCACACCTTAAATTAACTTGGTTGAATGTATGTGATGGCCTCCAGTGGAAGTTCACAACCATTATGGAGCAGTTGGGTAGACTTATATAATGGCACTGGTCTGGGCCAAAGCATTCATGACTCAAACTCAACTACTTTAACATAGACTTACAAAAAGTCTACTGCTTAAATCATTTTGTGGAATGGGGGCCTATTTGAAGGCTGAGCACTCCAGAAAAAGACTCACACATTGGACCAAAGATAAGAATCAAATCTTAGTCTTCACTATGATGAGCAGGTATAATTCAGTGTTACAATACCACTAAATATAGGTAAACAAGAAGTATGAAAAAAACACTTTTGTTTAACTTTATAATGAGTTTGTTTTTCACAATCTGCAGCCATGGGCACTTGGTATGAAACTCCATATGACTGTATGTGTGGGTGTGTGTTTTGAGCATCTGCATTGTTTATGTACACTGAGAAATGTTTTTCAGTGGACTGTCAATGGAACAAGTCCACGGAAAAAGAAGAGCAAAGCAACTCCTAAGAAGAAAGCCAAGCGTTCTTCCACAATAACCTCTTCAGGCAGCGAGGATGACAGCGAAAAGAGTGGATCTGAGCCAGAAGAAGGTGGTCACCAGTCTGCTCATGTTTTTTCCATGATGCTCATAAATATAACATCTGTTATATTTGGGATTACACTTGCTCATAAATATATTTGCTTTTCTTTCCAATGGTAGTGTGAGCAGACGTTTTCAGGTTTGAATCCCAGATGTGCTCTTATTTGTATCGGAGACCGGAAGGTCGCGGGTTCTATCCCCGACCGCGTCATACCAAAAGACTTTAAAATATGGTACTTGTTGGTCCCTGCCTGGCGCTTCGGCATTAATGGGTACAACAAGGACTGGTCGGCTCGGAGTCAGTATACTGAGTCTGAGTGGGGTACTCATGCTTCACTGCGGCATGGTATCTCGGTGAGCTAGCACTATAAAACCAGCTTCAGTCTGGGCTAGTACAAGCAGCCTCACATACACATACACACGCATGCACGTCGTCATATGAGCGAAACATTCTCAAGCACGACGTTAACCCCAATTTCACCTCACCTCTTTTTTGTATCATATGGTTATCATGGTTACTAAAGTTAGATTGCATTGCCACTGAAAAAAAGTTTAATGAATGTATATGATTGTCTTGTTTATTGCTAATTGAACTTAGAATGAACCTTCAGTAACCCATGCTTGTCGTAAGAGGCGACTAACAGGATCGGGTGGTCAGGCTCGCTGGCTTGGTTGACACATGCCATCGGTTCCCACTTGCGCAGATCGATGCTCATGCTGTTGATCACTGGATTGTCTGGTCCAGACTTGATTATTTACAGCCCGCTGCCTTATTGCTGGAATAGTGCGTCGTAAAAGTAAACTCACTCACTGCTTATTGAGCATATAGGAATGCTCCTTGACTTTGATGTCCTTTTAATGTTCTGTCTTCTGCATGTGTAGGGGAGGTGTCGGATTCCGGCAGTGGGTCAGCCTCAGGGTCAGCCTCAGAATCAGAAGAGGAGAAGTTCTTTGATGGTTATGATGAGAACTTGATTGGGGATGAGGAAGACAAGAAGAAACTTGAACAAATGACAGAAAAGGAAAGAGAACAAGAACTGTTTAACAGAATGGAAAGGAGAGCTGTGTTGAAGACAAGGTACTCTTTGTTTAATAGCATTTGCCAAGAAATGGCCAGGACAACCGTGAAAAGTGTTTTCTCTCTGTTTTGTATTTTGAAACAAACATTCACAAAAGTATGTTTGAGTTAAAAAAACAAATACAAATGTAGTTTTGATTACGCTTAATTTCCTACTTCAATTTTGTATTTATTCGGAAGCCAGACAAGCTGATCTGCAATTCTGCAAAGGTTAATTTAGAAGTTCATTCAAAAACGAATGAAAATAATCCCTTTAATTTCTCATTATGATTTCACTTTGTGAACTTACTTTATCCTACAGGTTTGAAATTGAGCAAAAGCTTAGAAAAGCGAAGAAAGAACAGAAACACAAATTGAAGTTGTCATCAGACACAGCGGCACCCACCAGATCAGTGAGTGAGCGAAGTAAGGAGAGAAGGAAGAACATGGAGGATAGCCGCAAGGACAACAAGAAAATGTCAGCTCTCCAAGATCTGAAGGCGAGGAGGGAGGAGAAGAGAAACAAAGGTACTTCAATCTTACTTTCAGCTTACTGATTTGCTGGATTGGGCTCCCTCCTTTAATAGGTGCTGAGGCGGTGGGGTAGCCTGGTGGTTAAAGCGTTTTCTCATCATGCCGAAGACCCAGATTCGATTCCCCACATGGGTACAATGCGTGAAGCCCATTTCTGGTGTCCCCGCCGTGATCTGGGGAATATTGCTAAAAGCAGCGTGAAGCCATACTCGCTCATTCACAATGCATGCCGAGAGACACTGTATGATAGGAAATCTGTCCCCTGTCGTGATATTGCTGAAATAATGCTAAGAGTAGCGTAAAACCAAACTCACTCATTCACAATAAGTGCCTCCAGACCAATTTCTAAGACAATCTGTAAGAAATTGTCAAATTTGGTGCTCACAAAGACCCAAATTTGACATTGCAGGGAATATTTCCTTGCAGCTGATATGCAATGATATGGCTAAAATATTCTTAGCAGTGCTAAACCCAGATTACTCACTCACTTGTCTTCTTTTTACAAGGGTCAACAGATTCTCCTGCTGTATGTCACAGAACTGATATTGTCTTTTCTTTGTCTTGATATGAGGTTATAATGACATAATAACATAAAATGTATTCACCGTTTGTTTAGCAGCCTATGGTTGTGGTACTTTCTGAAAATGTTACTGATTGTGTCCTGATTAAAAGGGATTATTCACATGCAAAAGAAAAACATACAGAATACTACTAAATCAAATGCACCATTTACTTTCTACTCTCTGCTTCTTATTTGAGGGCTTTGTGGTGGTCTAATGGTTAAAGCGTTCTCTCGTCACGCTGAAGACCCAGGTTCGATTCCCTACATGGGTACAATGTGTGAAGCCCATTTCCGGTGCTCCCCACCATGATATTGCTGGAACATTGATAAAAGCGACGTAAAACCATACTCACTCATTTGAACATGACCTACCTGCTCCAAACCAGGACTATGACAATTTTGTCTGATTTCAGAGGAAATAAAGATACAACAGCAGAAGAAGCTACTGAAGGCGAGTGACATCTACAGTGATGATGAAGATGATGACGATGAGGATGACAAGAGGATGGAGGAGAAAGAAAAGCAGGAGAGTCGGGCTGATTCAGACTCAGAATCAAGTTCTTCACGGTCTTCCGGGACAGTCGGATTCAGAAGATGAAGAGTGAGTAATGTCTGTTATGATAAATGCTTCACTGGAAGTTTTCATCAAATAATTGCTAGGCATTATACAACAGGGCTCCAAATAAGGGCCATATCGGCATATGTACGGATAAAAAATATGCACGATGCAGTAGGAAATAATTTAGAAACAGTAGCAGATATGCACCACAGCAGTGGTGTATGGTCTTAGAATCATTTACAGACGTATTTATCTGAAAAAAGTATTTTTTTATTGTTTTTTTACCTGTTTACACAAGAGTAGCAATGTTGTGGTGCATATATGAAACGAAACACAAGATCACATACTCCATTAAATTCAATTCAGTACTCTAAAAGTTTTTCCAGTACTCCTATATTTAAAAAATAAGGAGTACGTACTCCTTTTTGGAAAAATTATCTGGAGCCCTGATACAATATATTTTTGTTCCAATTACAAACTAATGAAGGTTTTGATGATTCCATGTCAGAATAGAGCCCTTCAAAGCTTACGCTTGTAAAAAGATTGAATGAGCATGTTACAAAAATATTGTGTTTGAACTTTGGAAAGCACAAGTGAAACTAACAATGAACTGCTCTGAATATTTGGTTATTGTTTAATTATTTCAGTTCCTATTCCCGACCCAAGAAATCACATCTCGTCTCTCAGTGAAAGAAGATCTGAACAAGGTCAAGTTATCAAGACATAAACTTGAAAGGTCAGAATGTATTATTGCACAGTTATGATTGCTTGTTAGTGAAGCTGATGAGCCAATTTAAAGATTGTGCATCTGAGTTCCAGTTTATACAGCAAGATTCTACTCAGTTTCTTACACATGACATGGTGATAGATGAATTCAACCAGCTGTTCTGCATTTTCACATTTGGATTCATGAATTTCTTTGATATTGGAAGTAAGTTTGGTTTTCCTTGTCTGTGCTGGATTGATTGCTAAGTGCTTGCTGACAAGTTTCTTTCTTTTCATTCATTCATTCATATACTCATTCATTCATTCATATACTCATTCATATACCCATTCATTTGTATACTCATTCATATACTGATTCATTCATTCTTATACTTACTCAGTCTAAGTAAACTTATTAGATTACACTGTTATTCGTTACACTGCTATACTGAGCCTAACAAAACCTGGTAGAAGGTCGTGTCAGCTAACCTTTTGGACTGACCAATCAGAATACAGCTTACTAAATCGCGAAAGTTAACATTCGCACATACCATTTGAACCTTTACCTCAAAAACTCGAACAATTCTGAATGCTATTTTCCACATGATCGCCTCCAAGTGATACACGCAATGAGTAAACAGTCGCTGAAAATAGCGTTTTTGTCAATATTCAATGATGTCATCTTGCGAAAATATAGGTAAATAGTAACCATGTCATTAGAAACCCATAAGTGTATATACTGCAGGTCAAATATCTGTGTCAGCGACCAAGGAAGAGAAAATCCAAAACCTGTTTTGTAAGTCCCGCCGAACCCTGTCAAGTAGTCGTCTGATTAGTTGAATCCGTTCGGCTGTCTCGCGTTTGATTGGGCGGTCATAGGTCGCTCAAAGGTTAGCTGACGCGACCTTCTACTAGGTTTTATTAGACTCAGTATAGCAGTGCAACGAATAATACTGAGCCTAAGTTTACTTAGACTGATACTCATTCATATACTTATTCATTCATTTATTCATTCATTCATATACTCATTCATATACTCATTCATTCATTCATTCATTCATTCATTCATTCATTCATTGTTTCCCTGCTTATTAGGTGGTGTCATATGCCTTTCTTCAAGAGGACTGTCACAGGTTGTTTTGTGCGAATAGGCATTGGAAACCACGAGGGAAGGGCGGTATATCGGGTAAGATGATTAGCAGTGTCCAATATCAAACATTAGACAACAGGGGTTCTACTGGGGGAAAATAATTTATTAATTTATTAACTACAGGAGCCACCTGAAGACGCCTACATACCTTTAGATACTTACTTGTAAAGAGCAAAGTAAATGAAATCGGATGTCTACTCAGAAGCAGTGAAACTCACCAATACTCTATGCTTGTTGTAAAGTCGCCTGGAATTATGATTTGATTGATACTGTCTCATCATTGGTCGAAAGCCAGAGAAAGCCATCATATTTCCGTGACTCTGGAGTAAAGTAACAGGCACCCCACCTATCTTTTCCTGTGATCATCTGGTGATATGGGACAGTGGGGTAGCCGAGTGGTTTAGGCGTTACTCGTCACGCCCTAGACCCAGGTTTGATTCCCCACATGGGTACAATGTGTGAAGCCTATTTCTGGTCTCCCCGGCCCTGATATTGCTGAAATATTGCTAAATCTGGCTAAAAATCATCTCACCCACTCACTATCATCTGGTGAAGCTATTGGTGATAACATGCATTTCATGGTATGTTTGCAGGTAGCTGAAATTATTGATGTTGTTGAAACTGCCAAGGTATATCAACTTGGCTCCACAAGAACAAATAAAGGTCTCAAATTAAGGTAAAGAAGATACGTCTTAGTCATGCAGACACAAAGTTAAATTGTATACAACCTTATAAACTTGTCTACTTGGTGTTACTGAGTAGCACTCCATTTTGTGAAGACAAGATACAGCATTCAACATCCAGTTTGTTTACAATATTTATAACCACTAAAATGAAGCAGTAACCCTGTTCATTGTCAAACAGATCCTTCCAAATTTTCACCAGTCTTGATGTCTGATTAAGATGTTTTACCCAGCTCGTTATTTTTATTTACAAAATGGTAACTTGCAAATGGAACTACAATATGTTCATACAGCTCCTAATATCTGGTTCCTGTTCCACAATGCCATGTTTGTGCATAGTCTGTGTTAGCGACAAGCGCTTATACTGTCAGTGTGGGGAAATTCTAATGTTGCTATGTAACTGGTAAATTATGGTAAGTGATCAAATGTTTGGTACATATTGCTAGGATATCTGGTTCGATCGTGAGGATTCAACGGGAGATCTGTGGAAACAGCAGTTTGAGTTTGGATTTTGAATAAACAAGTCGTGTTGTAACAAGCTGTGTTACATATCAGCACTGAAATTACATCTTAGCAATAAACTCACGTTGAAACAGGCCTGGATGTTCTGCTGTTGTCATATGGCTGTATTTTCCCCAGGCATGGCAATGCAGAGCGTGTGTACCGTCTAGAGTTTGTCTCCAATCAAGACTTCACCGAATCCGAGTTCTTCAAGTGGAAGGAGGCGGTGATGCTGGGAGGCTTGGAGCTGCCCACTGTGGAGGAGATCAACAGGAAGTCGGAGGACATCAAGCAGGCTCTCAACTACAAATTGAAGGAGAACGACATCGAAGAGGTGAGATAACCATACTTGGTGATGACCTCCACCTCCAGCTTCCTCATCTGTATTGTAGGGCAGTGGGGTAGCTTAGTGGTAAAAGCATTTGCTCTTCAGGCCGAAAACCCGGGTTCGATTTCCCACATGGGTACAATGTGTGAAGCCAATTTCTGGTGTCCCCCGCCATGATATTGCTGGAATATTGCTAAAATTGGCATAAAACCATACTCACTCACTCACTCATCATTATCATGCTGAAATTGTCCTGAAAGATGTAATGTGATAATGATTGTTTCTTACTTAAATTGAGTTCTTGTGTTCAGATTGTTGCTGAGAAACAGAGATTCAGGAAGAACCCACACAATTACGCGGTGAAGAAAACCCACCTACTTAAACAGAAGGTTCGTCTCCATCAATTCAGTACAACTGACTATTTCTGGTATCCTCCACCTCAGTATTGCTGGAATGTTGCTTAAAAGTAGTGTAAAACCAATCACTCCCCAACTTGCAATTCCTTAAAGGTACAGAGTTGCTTTCCTTAGCACTACAGAATCCTCTGATTGTAGATTCGAATCCTAGATTTACACTGATTATGATCTGTGTAAGTGTTCATTGCCTACATCACCTTCGGCTTTCCATCCTCAAGTAGCCCATTTACTGTGATATGACCAAAACACACAACTGTGTTAATCCCACCTCCTTTTCTGTCTAATACACAGACGCTTAAATTTGCTTGCTCCAGACCATTAATAAATAATAATGAGAAGTCTAATAATGCGCTATCTCCACGCAACAAAGCATGCTCTAAGCGCTAACACCCTGATTATTATTACCCCAGATAACCCAAGCTGCCTGTTAAGCGCTAGAAGGTTATAGTCACATGACTTTATCCAACCGGGTACCCATTTTCTGCTGGGTGAACAGAGGTGATTTTGAACAAACTCACTTACCTTAGGTGAGACCACATGTATCACATGTGCTTCGTTGTGGGGCAGGACTGAAGTCCTAGAAACTCTCAGGAGTCAAGCTGTCAAACACAGTCACCCATCCAAGGACTGTCCGAGCTCGCCGTTGCTGAACTTCAACTGATTCGTGACCTGCGCTCTGTGCACAGGACCACAAGCCACCACATTATGACCAACTTGCAAGATGCCATTTATTTGCTTAGTGTTTACTTAGAAAAATGGTACCTGTGAAGATCCGAAGTAGAATTGTTGTTCAGCAACCTATGCATGTTGTAAGATGCGGAATCAGGTGGTCAGGCTCGTTGACTTGGTTGGCCACGTCGTATCCCAATTGTGTTGATTGATGTTCATGATGTTGATCACTGGATTGTCTGGCCCAGACTCGATTACTTACAGACCGCCATCATATGGCTGGAAGATTGCTGAGTCCGGCGTTAAACAACAACAACAACTAAAACTTGGAAGTGGAATCAAGGGTGGCACAGCAGTTCACTGTGCTGAGTTGCGCCCCTTGGACATGCCTGAAACCTATGTTTAGAGGTTCGAATCCTGCTTCCTCCAAATATTTCTGGGCTGGACAGCACCATAACCATTCTTACGTTGGTTAGTTGGTTGGTTGTTTGATCGGTCTGTTGTTTAATGCCACACTCAGGAATATTCCAGCTATATGGCGGCAATCTAGATAATCGAGTCTGGACCAGACAAGCCATTCTTATGGGTGTGACCGAAGTTTAAGCTCCTGAACCAACATCAATCTGAGCCTTCTTCCCACAGAAAGGACATGCTGTGGTATACCTGAAATACTGTTCAAAAAGGCATTCAGATTAACTGTCCAAAGTCCTCATTACAAATGTGTTTGTTCACTGGTTGTTTTCTAGGAGACAGCTGAGCTAGAGAATGACCAGGACAGGTTGTACAAGGTCCAACACGAGCTGGAGGAGTTGGAGGAGAGAGCGGTGGAGCTGGATCGCCGTCGCTCCAGTAACATCAACTCCATCAGGTAAGGAGAGATCTTGTAGACTGGGACATTAGGATTTACACTGATTATGATCTGTGTAAGTGTTCATTGCCTACATCACCTTCGGCTTTCCATCCTCAAGTAGCCAATTTACTGTGATATGACCAAAACACACAACTGTGTTGATCCCACCTCATTTTCTGTCTAATACACAGACGCTTCAAGTTGCTTGCTCCAGACCATTAATAAATAATAATGAGAAGTCTTATAATGCGCTAATCTCCACGAAACAAAGCATGCTCAAAGCGCTAACACCCTGATTATTATTACCCCGGATAACCCAAGCTGCCTGTTAGGCGCTGGAAGGTTATAGTCACATGACTTTATCCAACCGGGTACCCATTTTCTGCTGGGTGAACAGAGGCAATTTGAACAAACTCACTTGCCTAAGGTGAGACCACATGTATCACATGTGCTTCGTTGTGGGGCAGGACCGAAGTCCTAGAAACTCTCAGGAGTCAAGCTGCCAAAGAAGGTCACCCATCCAAGGATTGTCCGAGCTCGCCGTTGCTTAACTTCAACTGATTCGTGACCTGCGCTCTGTGCACAGGACCACCCACCACCAGGTGGACCCTGATATGTGTATGGAGTTTCTTTCTTATAGAGAACCCTGTGATAGTTCTGGGTCATGGTAGGCAACTAGCATCCACTTTGGCAGTCCATAAAGACGAGGAACTGAGTCACTTTCCATCATACCCCATCACTGCCTGTAGCTTGTTTATGTCAACTAGACTTGATTATGTTCAAGCCACAGTGCAGGGTTAGCATGGGCTTGAAAAGGCCTGAAATTTGAACATTTTACCCCAAAAAGTACCCAAATTGGTTTAAGCCTTAAAAAGATCCTAATTGGCAGTGATCTGCCCTAAAAAGGCCCTAAATTGGTTTAAGCCTTAAAAAGGTCCTAATTGCTAGTGATTTGCCCTAGAAAGGGCCCTATATTCAGCAAAACCTGTCAAGTTATGAAACAGGAAACTAATACATAATAAAAATACCTTGCAATGACGACCGGTGTAGAATAGGTCTTCAGCAACACATGCAAGGCAACTATGCTTGTCATAAGAGGCGACTAACGGGATCGGGTGGTCAGGCTCGCTGACTTGGTTGACACATGTCATCGGTTCCCAATTACGCAGATTGATGCTCATGCTGTTGATCACTGGATTGTCTGGTCCAGACCTCGATTATTTACAGACCGCAGCCATATAGCTGGAATATTGCTGAGTCCGGCGTAAAACTAAACTCACTCACACACTCACCTTGCAATGACAGTGGGTGTTAATTAACCTCCATCCGTAACAAAACTTTCCAGTACAGCAATGTAGCTAAGGGTTATTTCCCTCTGATGGTCGGTCTCACATTTGACCAACCTTGGGTGTATTCAGTACTTACGTGTTAAATGTAATAGTAACTGGAAGGGAAATTTAAGCCTTGCAGCAATAATAATGATTATCATTATATGCAAATGGAACTCACACACTAATGAGATTGATTACTGACACCAAGAATATTCTAAATTTCAGTTACATTAATCAGAGAAACAGGACAAGGAATATTGTCGAGTCAGAGAAAGCTGCCAAGGCTGAGGTAGAAGCTTCCAAGAATGCAATTGCTGACCCATTTACACGAAGACATTCACGTCCAACACTTGTAACAAAGGTAAGGAAATCAAACGTCTTGTTGCCCAGTCCACAGACACCAATTGGCTGTACAGAGTTCCATCACTAAGATGAATCCTAGATCTTAAGTTTGTCAGCACCATATTGGTGCTCTTGGTTTTCAGCCAGTGGTAAATGTGTAGGTTTGTGTGTCACTTCAGGTTTTCCTGTGGTATCAAGATCACGTGCAGTTACTTAGCTAAAAGGTTAGAAGATATGTTAAACCCAGACTCACTCACTAGTGACGATTCATCGATACGCATCCAGGGATTTACATGGAGTCCTGTATTTGAGGGTCCCTGGGACTCATACTCTTTTTTTTCAGGGGTCCTGGACACTTAAATATTATTATTAATACTGTTATTGTATTGTGTATCATGATCATCGCATTGTTACAGTAATTAAATTGCAAATAATACCATAACCCAGCTAGTAGCAAACTTAGCGTTTAACTTATTGTCACTTGATTGGAATATTTACAAAAAAGTATTTGGACTTTTTCTGAGTCCCTGTGGACACGCAAATAAATTTTGTTGCGTCCATTGTCAATTTTTATGCGTATATGACACAGGAATTCACGTCCTGTAAATCCCTGCACATCAATGCATCGATCCATGGGCCACCAATACAGTGAATCAATACAGAGTTTTACATTGTCGTATATCCCGATACGATACTTCAAATGGGCCACGATACATCGATGTTTAACTTGCCGAATATTGCCGAATCACCACCCCTATATTGGGATTCGTATTGTATCGCAGCTTCAGTGCACAATACTTTGGCAATATATCGTCGTGACAACAAGTTTAGTATCGTGATGTATTGTATCGCAGGTTGTATGCCAATACCAGCACTATCACTCACTCAATCAACCACTCAGTTAAACAGTTTTTGTTCCACCAAATCTTCTTTTACGTCAGTGATTCACTTAATGTCCTCAATTTTGATGCAATAACAGTAAGTTTAATGACTAACATCAGGAAACATACTGACTGTTTTTCAATCAAGTTTTAGAATAGTCTTGTGTTATAATGTAGCATCTTCAGTCCTGTATTTAGAGAAGGCAAGTCGTTCTGGCACTGAACCATTTGTTTTCATTTTCAGAGAGACACAGCTTCCGATGCTAAGTTAGCTTTCATGTTGGCAGATGAAAGGAAGAGGAAGGTAAGTGATCGAGTGTATCTCCTAGAGAGGTGATAGCAGCTCCATTCTAGGATCAGTGTCTGACTGGAGTAGTACTTGTGTGGGAACAGTAGTTCTGGTCTAGGACCCGTGACTGATTGCAATAGTACCTGTGTGGGAACAGCTGGGCCAGTCTAGGACCAGTGTCTGATTGCAATAGTACCTGTGTGGGAACAGCAGGGCCAGTCTAGGACCAGTGTCTGACTGGAGTAGTACCTGTGTGGGAACAGCTGGGCCAGTCTAGGACCAGTGTCTGACCGGAGTTGTACCTGTGTGGGAACAGCTGTGTCTGGATGTATCAATAGTTGTACCTGTGTAGGAACAGCTGGACCAGTCCAGTCTAGGACCAGTGTCTGACTGGAGTAGTACCTGTGTGGGAACAGCTGGGCCAGTCTAGGACCAGTGTCTGACTGGAGTTGTACCTGTGTGGGAACAGCTGGACCAGTCTAGGATGTGTATCTGACTGGAGTTGTACCTGTGTGGGGGCAAGTCTAGGACAGCTGGACCAGTCTAGGATGTGTATCTGGACTGGAGACTGTACCTGTGTGGGAACAGCTGGACCAGTCTAGGATCCATGCCTGACTGGAGTTGTACCTGTGTGGGAACAGCAGGGCCAGTCTAGGATGTGTATCTGACTGGAGTTGTACCTGTGTGGGAACAGCTGGGCCAGTCTAGGACCAGTGTCTGACTGGAGTAGTACCTGTGTGGGAACAGCTGGACCAGTCTAGGATGTGTATCTGACTGGAGTTGTACCTGTGTGGGAACAGCTGGACCAGTCTAGGATCAGTGTCTGACTGGAGTTGTACCTGTGTGGGAACAGCAGGGCCAGTCTAGGATCCATGCCTGACTGGAGTTGTACCTGTGTGGGAACAGCTGGACCAGTCTAGGATCCATGCCTGACTGGAGTTGTACCTGTGTGGGAACAGCAGGGCCAGTCTAGGACCAGTGTCTGACTGGAGTTGTACCTGTGTGGGAACAGCTGGGCCAGTCTAGGACCAGTGTCTGACTGGAGTTGTACCTGTGTGGGAACAGCTGGACCAGTCTAGGACCAGTGTCTGACTGGAGTTGTACCTGTGTGGGAACAGCTGGACCAGTCTAGGATGTGTATCTGACTGGAGTTGTACCTGTGTGGGAACAGCTGGACCAGTCTAGGACCAGTGTCTGACTGGAGTAGTACCTGTGTGGGAACAGCTGGACCAGTCTAGGATGTGTATCTGACTGGAGTTGTACCTGTGTGGGAACAGCTGGACCAGTCTAGGACCAGTGTCTGACTGGAGTTGTACCTGTGTGGGAACAGCAGGGCCAGTCTAGGATCCATGCCTGACTGGAGTTGTACCTGTGTGGGAACAGCAGGGCCAGTCTAGGATCCATGCCTGACTGGAGTTGTACCAGTCTGGGATGGACCAGTCTAGGACCTGACTGGAGTTGTACCTGTGTGGGAACAGCAGGGCCAGTCTAGGATCCATGCCTGACTGGAGTTGTACCTGTGTGGGAACAGCAGCCAGTCTAGGATCCATGCCTGACTAGTTGACCTGTGTAGGAACAACAGCGTGCCAGTCTATCCATGCCTGACTGGAGTAGTACCTGTGTGGGAACAGCAGGGCCAGTCTAGGATCCATGCCTGACTGGAGTTGTACCTGTGTGGGAACAGCAGGGCCAGTCTAGGATCCATGCCTGACTGGAGTTGTACCTGTGTGGGAACAGCAGGACCAGTCTAGGATCCATGCCTGACTGGAGTAGTACCTGTGTGGGAACAGCAGGGCCAGTCTAGGATCCATGCCTGACTGGAGTAGTACCTGTGTAGGAACAGCAGGGCCAGTCTAGGATCCATGCATCTGACTGGAGTTGTACCTGTGTAGGAACAGCCGGGCCAGTCTAGGATCCATGCCTGACTGGAGTATGGCCACTGACTGACCAGCATGCCAGCTGTATTGCAGCTATTTATGGTCGTTATGATCATGTTCAAATATGTTCAGTTGTCAGAGATTTTAATTGTAGCAGTAAGGCACTGTCAAAATCATCAATGCCTGAAATGAAAAAGTTGAACTTTCAACATGTATGTTTCTAATATTGATCACATATTTTGATAAACCTTTTGAAATTATTGCTAGTCCTTAGTTTTTAAGCAGCAAGATTTATATGAGGCTGTCTTTGTTGACCATCTGTATCGGGGAGCTCCTGTGCCATGGCACTATTTATTACAGTTCTTTAGTAATCACTGGCTGTTCTGTTTTGTGTTTCCAGGAAGCTGAGGCAGCTGGTATTGCTGATATGTTGGAAGGAAAAACCAGGTTACCTGGGCAACCAACCGGTCTAAAGGTAGAGACTTATCCCACCGTTATGAATGTTGATATGTTATGTGTTAGTGTTAGCAATGTAAATAATAACTGTTTTATTATGTACGTATAACAGGGCAACCTTCTCCAGATTATATAACCCAGAGATTCATACTCCCTAGTTCAATCTGCAGAGTTATCTTTCCAGGATTTAGGGGCGGTTGGGTAGCCTAGTGGTTAAAGCGTTGGCTCGTCACGCCGAAGACCCGGGTTCGATTCCCCACATGGGCACAATGTGTTAAGCCCATTTCTGGTGTCCCCCGCCGTGATATTGCTGGAATATTGCTAAAAGCGGCGTAAAACTAAACTCAGTCAGTCAGTCTTTCCAGGATTTGCTTGTGGGTTCAAATCATAACAAGTTACAAAAATACTAGAACAGAAGTTTTGTCTTAGAAACATATAGATTGTATAATACTGATATTGCATAAATTCTTTATGATAAAATTGATATCAAAATGTAGGTTGGACCTACTTTACCAACGAATTGATACATTATTACAATATGCATAAATATTGGCTCATGTTTGTTGCATATCCTATTGTCTGAGGTTATTATCAATGAATTGATATATTGGTGAATCGTGACATCCCTACTGTGTACATAATCAGAGGCCCAGATAAGCTACGTATCCGGGTAAAATACGCATATAAAATTTCCAATTACGCATTGAAAAATAATTGTTGCGTACGATTTACTTTATTTAAAAATGTTAGATCATAAAAGTTTAAAACAAATGCGTACGGAATATATTTATAAAAATCGCTTGCGTAATGCAAAAGGCATCGATTGCTATCAAGTTGTACGGTTAGTATAGGACAAGTGCTGTACTGTCCATTTAGGATGAGGGATTTTTTATGAACTCATTTCCATTACATTTAAGTTGGTTTTGATTAGGTATGACATAGTCATAAGGCAGAACATACCTGCTTAGTAAACTTACTCAGTCACATAATACTTAGGTGAGTAAAATGACTGAAATACGCACATGTTTGAAAGTAGTGGGTAACGGAAAATGAAATACCCACTCAACATTCAAAATACCCACTCCAAAAAAATACAGCGGGTACAGTACCCACATGAGCTAAATCTTATCTGGAGCTCTGCATAATGTATATAAACATGATGAATTTCTACCTTTGCTTCAGGATTCATCAAGGGAAGGGGTTTCTGACAAAAAATCCTCAGATGATCTGTTTGCTGTTCATGACTTTGATATCAAAATAGAACTGGATGTGCCAACAAGTGGTGAGAGCTTTTTCTGTGGCTTATTGGTGTGCAGCATACACAGTTGTCAGGCTGAAATACAAGCCCATTCAATGCTGCTCTAGATGTGAAATACCATTATGAGCTATTATAGCTAAAATACATGGAATTATCATGAAACGGCCCTCCCATTATTAGGAATTTGCGGGCCGCTGCAAATGATATTGGACCGCTCAACCTTAACGACGGGCCACTATCAGTTCTGTTGTCAAGTGGCGTCATAGTGGGTGCGTGGGCTTGCGGTTCATTCGACATTAATTGGCTTTTGACTGGCAGATATTCTGGCTCAAACAAGTCAAAGCAACCCGAATTCCCGCTTTAAATAGCGGTAATATTGGCTTTCTTGTTGGTGCTAACCTTAACAATTGCACTATTAAGGCTGTTTATGGAACAAAACCAAACACTGACATAGTTTGACATGTTGCAGGCTATGGTCTTGTCAAAGGCCAAGGTCGAATATCGTCACTTTCTGTTGTGACGTCACTTGAATTGTTTGATGACGTAATTGCATTCGGGCAGTCAACCCCGTCAGAAGTTGATTTGGGTAAACTTACAGTCAAATTCCTTCATTGTTTCCTTTTTCTTTTCAACACAAATTCCATGTATTTTAGCAATAATAACGGTAATGCTATTTTTGAGGGCATTATCATTTGCAGAAGCCCTCAGTCTTTTTCAACTGCACTCCTTCGTCGGGCAGTTAATGGAAGACCTCGGGCTTCTGCAAATGATAATGCCCTCAAAATAGCATTACCGTTGTAATAACATAACAGGTAATGCAATACTGATGGTGTTAATGATAATGGATTGTGATGGTGAGGGATGCCAGGTTAGAATTTTTCCAAGCCACCCATGCTTGTTGGACAATATGACTTGACCCGATCTAGTGGTCAGGTTCAGTGATGATGGATAATGCTCATAATATGAACCACTCATCACTCTTTTTGTCTGGTACAGAGTGGATGAGATACAGCTCCTTCAAGCTGCTAGAGTATTGTGTTAGGTGTTACACGGTAAACAACAAAGAGCCAAAGTTGACACATTAAGCAACCCCTCCTGGTGTAAGTAAAATAATTTAATACTGATCAAAAGGGCATGTAACTCTTTAACTTTACTAAACTCCTTTCTGAGTGCACTCCGACCGCCTCCGTGGTGTAGTGGTTAGAGCATCCGCCGAGGAGGCGGAAGGTCGCAGGTTCGATCCCCAACCGCGTCATACCAAAAGACGTTAAAATATGGTACTTGTTGGTCCCTGCCTGGCGCTCGGCATTAATGGGTACAACAAGGACTGGTCGGCTCGGAGTCAGTATAATGTGTCTGAGTGGGGTATTCATGCTTCACTGCGGCATGGTATCTCGGTGAGCTAGCACTATAAAACCAGCTTAAGTCTGGGCTAGTACAAGCAGCCGCACATACACAAGCATGCACGTCGTCATATGAGCGAAATATTCTCAAGCACAACGATAAACCCAATTTCACCTCACCTCACCTGAGTGCACCACACCACATGTTAAACATCAGTAACAAGCAGTTCTCTCTTCCTCCCCACAGCACCCTCTGTTGTTGTTTACAACCGACTATCGAACCAGGTCAGAGATGGTGCCCCCCGACGCTCCCTCAACCTCGAAGACTACAAGAAACGTAAAGGACTTATTTAATATATCAATTTGTTGTCGTATGTTTTAGTGTGTACATGAAGTATTCTTTGTAATGTAAATAGAATGAAAAATGAATAAATGTACAATGTCAAATGTAATTATCTGGTTGTCATATTGAAGGTTAATTATTCAGGTTAATTATGTTTTCAAGGACCTGTGTTTTTCATACTGAGAAACACCCAACAGCTGAATGCATAGGTCGATTATACCTAAGAAGCCTTATATTGTAAAGCTAATATTTTAGACTATGAGTCGTGATGAGTGGTGGAGGCCCAGTGGTTAGTGTCGTCACTTGTGCAACTAATTTCATTCCCCAAGTGACTACCATTTGACCCCTGACTTTCCTGGTTAGAATTCATATTCAGCAATACATACTTATACTTATACTTGTACTTATGGAAGAAGCGACTAACGGGATCGGTGGTCTGGCTTGCTGACTTGGCTGACATGTCATCATATCCTAGACTAACAACTAGTCTCTGAAATAAACATATTTTACAGATAAAACAGTTAGTAATAAAACACATGAAATATAGTGAAAAGGAGCCCTGAGACTTTCATTTTCAGAAACTGGATATCTAGACTTGCCACATATTCTAGACTTGCATGGGCTTTTTTGGATATATTTGTTTCAGGGTCTGTATGGCAGATTAATCGTATCCCAACTGTGTAGATTTATGCTTGTGTTGATCACTGGATTGTCTGGTCCGCAGACCGCAGCCATATAGCTGAAATATTGCTGGGTGCGGCATTAAACAACAATCAAGCAACCAATGACTACCATGTGTGAGACCGCCACCGTGGTGTAGTGGTTAGAAGCGTCCGCCCTGAGTCGCGGAAGGTCGTGAGGTTCGATCCCGACTTTCATACCAAAAGGCGTTAAAATATGGTACTTGTTGGTCCCTGTCTTGCGCTTGGCATTAATGGGTACAACAAGGACTGGTCGGCTTCGGAGTCAGTATACTGTGTCTGAGTGGGGTATTCATGCTTCACTCGCGGCATGGCATCTCAGTGAGCTAGCACTATAAAACCAGCTTCAGTCTGGGCTAGTACAAGCAGCCGCACATACATACACACACATGCGTCGTCATATGAAGCGAAATATTCTCAAGCACCACGTTAAATCCAATTTCACCACCACCACCATGTGTGAAGTCCATATTTCCATCTGCCCCTATACCTCTGTTACATCATATCCATTTATCTCTCTGGGAGGTCAATCACATTTTACAATCATCAGATTTTCCAGCAGATGTCCTTTTTATTTCCAACATAAATAATAGTGATGGTGAAAGCTCTATCTGCAGGAAGTGCAACTTTGTTAACAGGAAGCAGGAAACCATTGTTTCTTTCCCGTCTGTCCAGATGTAAACAAGTCAATCTGTTGGATTGTATCAGCATTGGTGGATCCGGAGGGGGGGTTCGAAACACACACACACACACATACACACACACACCTTTCAAAATTCCTGGATCCGCCCATGATCAGTACACGTTTGTGGATTTTGCATCCTGTAACCACTTGATGGTGGTCTTTGAGACGAGCAGATAAAGTTTTGAAGCATATAGTTGTAAGGAGTTCAAACAATAGATTTTGTTGGAGATGCACTCTGGCTGGCAGTCACTTGCTCTTGTTTTGACTATGATCTGGCCACACCCAGGTTCCGGAAGTGGTGTCATGACCCGTAAACCATGTGTGGTTTGTGTTGTTTTGTCCCTGTGGTGTTCCACGAACTCTATGTAGCAGCGTCAGGATGTAGTTATTGTAGTGACAAGAACCACAAATCCACTGGGGTGTGAGGCGGGTGGACTTTTATTACAAGAATGTAATAAACAAAAGCTTTAGCCTGAAACATGTTAAAATGACAATATAAGTTTACAATCAATAATTGACAGGAATCACATTTCTACATAACAAGTGAATTAACTTATCCAAATGCTTAATTAAACACATACATGTACATGTTTATACATTACTAATCATAACTACTGTTGCCAACACGTTACCGTGACAACTCCACAGATATATAAAATGAATAATATCATGGTAATACACACGATTTGCTGATGCACATGACTGATACACATGTATTAACTATATTACATGGCTTTGATACTATAAACATTTACAAATATGATGGATGTTACATAATATACAATGATAAATATAATTGAAATAACAATAAAAACAACATACCAGGTTGGTATGACCTGAGCTCCTGCATTCAATGCATAGGTGATACTGCTGGTGTTTACGTCATCTGCAAGATGAATAAATACCATGTGCAGATGATATTTACAAAAATGATTAAAAGAGTAACTACGGTAAAAGCTACATACAACCACATCTAACCACATACGCACATACATCCACACACGCACTCCATTTATGGTAGCTGTAATAATGCTAATAGTAATAATGCTTTAATGTGATAGGAATATGGAAAATAAGATTATTGCTAAATATTACACTTAGATGAAATATAAATTAATGATTATATGTAATGCTATAATTATATAATATAACACTTACACATCTCACTGTACTGTGAGTCAAAACTTAATCTTAACATTAACCTAACTCACTATACTGTGAGCTAAACTCATACTAAAACAACAGTATAACTCACTCTAATGCGAGTTATAACCTACACTAATAACAATGTCATAACTCACTATACTGTCACTATACTGTGAGTTACCACCACATAAAATATTTACACATAGTAGAAAGTGGATACTGAAATTAAACATACTTTAAACTTTAGCCAGTTTAACCATCAACTATCACACGCAAAACCACAATAAATATATACACAAGACTAGAGATTACTAACCTTATATACATGGGAAAAACACAGTCCAGATCACCATGATCTCGATCCTAGAGACTAAACCGCAACATGCGCGATGACAACCACATAAGATACTGACCAGGGCCTCCTTTCACAAAGCACTAAGGTGATCGTAAGTCACTAAGTTAACCTTAGTGCAATGTTAAAGAATGGGAGTTAAGGTTAACCTTAGTGCAATGTTAAAGAATGGGAGTTAAGGTTAACCTTAGTAAAGGTTGCTTCGTGAAAGGAGCCCCAGGAGACTAGATGAAATTAACCTTTAAATACCTAATACCTTATACGCTTGGCTGAACAGAGAACAATAGAACTTACACACTAGTCTGAGCAAGGGACATGCTTTAGAAGGGATTGCAGGGAGAAAAGCATGCAGTGCAAAATGAGTATTGCTGAAATAGATTACATTTAAGATTAGATTGATGTTTAGAAGGGCTAAGGGTGTGATATAAAATATTGAATATAAAATTATTGATAAAATGATTAGACTTAGGTTATTTAATGAGATTGTATATCTCATCATAATATGACACACATTTTAAAAGATTCACATGTTTATTATATTTACAACTATATACAATACAAAGTTGAATCTGCCACATGTACATGACAAACATGATAAACTGATGGCTCTGATGTAATGTACGTAAGCTGTATGTAATATTCGACTGTGGTACATTTCCCCATTAAAGTTTAGGAAAAACGACTATTCTTTAATACCTGGTAAATAATTATGTAAGGTATTTATTTTTTTTGTTTAATTTTATATTTTCACCCAAGTCATTGACACTCGCCTTGCATGCTGACTTTAATGGCTGTAACCCTGGGTTACTTTCAGAAGTACTTGCTGGATTCATGAAAGGATATCTACAACGGATCAGTTTTTACAATGTTGAGCCTTATAGAATCACTTAACATTAGAAAAGACAGATTACCATGTGCACATAAATTTCCCAAGAACATTTGACACAGTCTCAACAGCAAGCCTCTAGCAAAGCCTTACTCATGTCAAAGGGAAATTCATTAACATAAACTAAATGATGTGAGAACATGTTTTGAGCTCTTTGTAAACAACCAACAACTGATTATTTTCTTTGTATTGTTGGAGTAAGACAAGGTGGAATTTTATCACCTACTCTGTTTGCTATTAATTTACCTTAACAACATTGAGGTGAGAAGTTTACTCTGAGACTCCCAAAGAAAATCAACGCCACTGTATATGGTATACGTGTACATTGAACTTCGTACTTGATGATGATCTAGCCTAGATAAGAACAGTGTGTGTTGGAGTTTGATTAAAGCAATGAAGATGCAGTCGTTCCACAGCATTAATGTGTAGAATATATCCAGATAGACAGTCTTTACTTCCTTCTTGTTGGGAACGGGGACGGTAGCCTAGTGGTTAAAGCGTTGTCTTGTAACGCAGAAGACCCAAGTTCTATTCCCCACGTTTGCATTATGTGAAGCCCATTTCTGGTGTCCCCGCCGTGATGTTGCTGGAATATTGCTAAAAGCGGCGTAAAACCAAACTCAGTCAGTGTGAAGCCCATTTCTCATTTCTGGTGTTCCCCTTCACGCTGGAATATTGCTACAGGCGGCGTAAAACACACTCACTCATTTTTCTGGTCCCTGGCAAAGTAGTATTAACCCTATACATGTTGTCTGTTCAGTAACCTGTTACATCACGAAAAACACGCTTAATATATAACATATCGAATCGAAATAATTCGTAAAACAATTTATCTTGGTCGTCGTGCTGTTTGTTCCAAAAGGATTTAGTCGTGAGTCTGTGCGTTTAAATATTAAAACATGTTAAAAAAATAAGGATGGTCACCGCTGCATGTCAAACTTAAATTAATATCTAAGCACAAACTGAGAGACATATTATCAAAGGCTCGCATAATACAATTTTTATTCCTAATATATGATATTAATGATACGGAAACACAGTCGGTTAATAATCTCTATTTATTAAACTGACGTTTTATTAATAGCAACATTGAACTAATGCCACATATAAAAATACGATTTAATCATCGTTTCCATGACAACATAGCTCAATGAACAAACCTTGCACTTCAGGACACCATAAAGGTTTTGTACTCCAATAAAATAAATTGCTCTGGGAGTTATGAGTGTTATGGAAAGTAAATCCTGTCAACGGCTCTGGTGGTAGTCAGGTGACGCAACCGACATAGCAAGTTATGGTTTGGATACTCTCCTTTGACAGATTAACAGCTATCTTCTCGGCCTTACGGCTCCGTCTTCAAGTGTGTAGCGAGAGATAGGACCGCCACTCAAGGATCGGGTGGAGATGAGTGATCACCTGTCTGTCAGAGGAAGATAACGCAGCCCCCATGGGAAACACGCCCTCGTACTTGAAGAAGGAAGAAGTGGAGACATTGTCTACATGTAATCCTTTGCTGTCTGAGAGATATCGTGAAAGAACCAATATATACTCCTCAAAGAAAGTAGGGGATCATGGAATCTTATTGTTAATACCATTATTGGAAGAAATATGAGCGTTGATGACAAGCATTATTCAAGAACATTTATGTCTGTAATCGCATAGGCGGATCCAGAGGGGGGGTGCAGGGGTGCGCACCCCCCTTTTGTCCTGAAAGTTTATTAAATGACCATTGAAACTCGGGTGAAAATGAAGTGTGCACCCTCCCTTTTCTCAATGGTGTGCTCCCCCCTTTCTCAAAAAGCTGTATCCGCCCCTGAATCGTTTACCCCGAAATACATCGCACTCAATAGCGCCACACACGTGAGTCGAGTGTCATTCAGGGAGGTCGATTTATCTCACTGGGCCATTAATTCAGTCAATCTCGCTTATCGTTATCATACATTTAAGTTGATTTCATGTTTTTATTGTGTATGAACTGCGAGTGGACGTCTTCCCAGCTAACAATTTCACGTTGTGACAACGTTGTGATTTTTTATGGTGCATCATTTGCACGTTCTCACCGTGCACGAATCGTCAATGCTCACTTCCGGCATCCCAACATCCATAGAATTCGATGGTCAGCAATAAACCTAAACCTTTCCCCAACTGAACACTTCGGGACATAATAGGTATGTGGACTAATGCACCAACGTCAAGGGCCACGTTGGATGAACTCGGTCAGGCGCTGAAAGAGGAGTAGGTGAAATGGTGAGGTGAAATTGGGTTTTTACGTCGTGGTGAAGTGGTTAGAGCGTCCGCCCGGAGAGCGGAAGGTCGCGGGTTCGATCCCCGACCGCGTCATACCAAAAGACGTTAAAATATGGGACTTGTTGGTCCCTGCCTGGCGCTCGGCATTAATGGGTACAACAAGGACTGGTCGGCTCGGAGTCCGTATACTGTGTCTGAGTGGGGTATTCATGCTTCACTGCGGCGTGGTATCTCAGTTGGCTAGCACTATAAAACCAGCTTCAGTCTGGGCTAGTACAAGCAGCCGCACATACACACGCATGCACGTCGTCATATGAGCGAAATATTCTCAAGCACGGCGTTAAACCCCATTTCACCTCACCTCACCATTAGATCGATGCGCATGATGGCATGACATCAATAACTGGATTGTCTGGTCCAGACTCGATAATCTACAGACCGTCGTCACAGAGCTAGATTATTGCTGTTCAATAGTGTTCAATCAAAAACCAGGAAGAAACACGGACGTGCAATCAACCAAGTCTGCGCGCCTTTCCATTATGAAAAAAGAAAACAAACAAACAACAACGGAATGCTAGTGTCCGGAAACAAAAGGAGAACAGTGCCCTTCGATGTTATTCACGAGGACAGGAAAGTCGACAGGTTACTTGTGTTTGTCAAAATAATTTGTTTCATATAGAACGTTACCAAATCAATTAAAATCATCAAATAACTAAGTGCCCAGTCAGGGATGAATCGTACACAAACCTCGATCGTTGTGTCGAATTCGTCGTCGGGACCCAAAGCGGTTGTAACGCTGAGACAATCGCAATTTGCCTACTTTAAACTATATTTCATATTATCATATCGTTGCGATCTCTTTGTAAAAACGTTGTCCTCAAATAAAATCGAGTTATTCTGAGTTCGAGGAAACCAACGGTTTACAGAAGAACCAGTTTAAAAGAACGAGGCTCGACTAGTCCCCTTACATTAAAATGTATATCTGTAAATATCGTCATTCAGTCCCTGGAGGCATGGCTTATATTCTCCTTTATCATGTTTGATATCTATACCAATATATGTTCAACCCCAGCCACGTTCCAGCTGACCTGTGCTATTCATAATAGAGATCATTAGTTCCCTATTTTACCATTTTAACCACTGACGAGGTACATTGTGTGGCTGACACACGGAATGTTATAATAGGCGATTACTTCAGGCTAAGTTCAACTGGAGACTTGATGTAGTTGTTCTGACGCGTTAATACGTTTTGAAATGACGGGACCACAACGGTTTGCATACACAGTATTGACCACAAACATTACTGGAGGTCACAATTAAGACATAAAACTCGTCGGTATGTATATATGATTGTCCAGTGTGAAGGAATAACGTTATTGACTCGAGATATTTAAGGGTTCTGTGTGATGACTCCTTCAACCTGTAACACAACTTGGCAACCCTAATTAACTAGGTTGGCTGGGTTTTTTTTGTTTTTTTTTGTTTTTGTTTTTGTTTTGTTGTTGTTTGTTTGTTTGTTTGTTTGTTGTTGTTGTTTGGGGGGGGGGTGGGTTGGTGTTTAACGCCGCACTCATCAATATTCCATTTACAAATGTATATGGCGGCGGTCTGTAAATAATCGAGTCTGGACCAGACAATCCAGTGATCAAAAGCATGAGCATCGATCTACGCAATTGGGAACCGATGACATGTCAACCAAGTGAGCGAGCTTGGCCGCCCAATCCAGTTGGTCGCCTCTTACGACAAGCATTTAACTAGGTACTGTTGGTAGCAAAGGTGTCAGTTCCTGGTACAAGCATGTTTGAGATACGTAACGCGTTAATCCGTACGACACTGTTCCCAGGTTCGTTTTGTTTGTTTGTTATCTAACGCCACTCTCAGCAATATTATAGCTATATGATGGCCGTCTGTTAATGATTGC